AATAATTAATATAAAATTTGACGAAAATGAAGGCGACAAAAGTAAAGCAACAAATTGTATTTAACAGTGTTTTATTTTATTTTATTTCAAAAAGTTGTATTTAACAGTATTGTATTATATTCTATTTAAAAAAAAACATTAAACACACATTTTAGTACAATAATAATAATTAAAATTATGTCTTAATAATTTATAGAATATCCATTATTGATAATTACAGGCTGGCAACGGCGCGCCATTGACTCTATCAACTTTTGAGTGACATGTTCTGGAAGATTTGTCTAAACTTCATTAATTTTATCTATCAACGATTGTTTATTTGGAAACATTTGTGTACGAATGCGACGTTCTTCTTCTTCCCAGAGATTTTCAATTGGGTTAAGGTCTGGCGACTGTGCCGGCCACTGCAGAAATCTAACATTGTTTTCTGCAAACCACTGTTGAACGAGTTGTGAAGAGTGTTTTGGATCATTGTCCTGTTGGAAAATAAAACGTAACGGCATTTCGCACTCTGCATAATCTCCCTATAAACAAATCGATTCATTATCTCATTAATGAAGTGTATAGGATCTACTCCATTTCATGAGAAACATCCCCATAAAAAACACTGCCATGTTTAATTGTAGGTGTTACGTACTTAGGGTTAAACCTTGTATTAATTGGTCACCTCACACGTCGCATTCCATCAGAATTCAATATTTTATATCGCGTTTCATCGCTTTTTTCCAGTCATTGATGGTTCAGTTTAAATGCCGGCGTACAAAGGCCAACCTTGCTGCTCTGTTTCTTGCTGAAACTAGCGATTTTTTTGCTGGCTGTCTACTGAACAACTTTGAAGCTACTAATCTTCTTTGCACAGTTCGTATGCCAACCGTAATTTCTGGATTTCGGCAATTATTCGAGGTGCGGACTTTCAAGGATCTTGTTGAGCAATTCTTTTAATGCGCCTGTCAGTCAAAACCGTTGTTTTTTGGGTCATCCCGATTTCGGCAATTTTTCTAAGTGTCCTCTGTCATTATACGATGAAATTATTCTAGATACGCTGTACCGAGGGAACATAAACTGTCTTGAAATATTAGCTTGATTGGTACCCTCGATAAATGCATTTACTACTCTTTGCTTTAGATATTTTGAAATTGGAATTCCTCTTGGCATAACTAGTCCCGCACACTTAGCACAAAATAAACCCAACACGAATTATTTTTCCATTTACTTTTACTGAAAGCGTCTTTTTGAACAAATTTTAGAAATGTTGCTCTATTTTTGACGCGTCGCTAATATGCATTTAAAACTATTGTCAAAATAAATTCATTTGTTTTGTTTGTGATCATCAATAAATCATTTCTGTAAGAAAATGTTACAATTTTATATGGTTATCCTTTCATTCTGTTCTTATCATGATATTTTAATATCTATTGTAGTTGACATCTGCATATATCTTGAAAATTTCTACACTTATACAGGAAAAAGGAAATATTAAGATATTGATATTATTAATTTTTTTTTCATCAACAGAGTGCTTGAGTGTTAGTTTCAGCTGTATTAGAACCATTAGTTAATAAGTGATTTTAGAGATAAGCAGTAATGGTTTAATCAGAGAGAAATAAAATGGGGTTCATTACATCGTAGCGCAAGGGTAAATGCTACAACGAACATAGGTCCGTTTCAGAAATGCTCGTGCATTTTTTATGTGAAATTAGCTGTGAAAAATTCCTACTTCATCTACCAATATAATGTTAATAGTATGGGGGAAGATATATAATTTAGATCAAGGGTAGGTACAATATAAACAGGATACGATGTACGGAGCAAACATATTTGTCACGTTGTGTCGATACATATTTTGAGTCATCAGTCAGCATCAAAACGCCTTACTTTACTTTTGTAAAACCTGCATTAAATTTAGCATACATTTTGTTTGACTGTTTTGACATCAAACAAAAGTTTCGCCATCATAAACTGAAACGGTTTATATTTACAACTAAAAGCCGGCGAGATAAACATCGGGAAAAGTTAATATTTTACCCAAGTTTATTATAAATCGGTCTGGGAAAAGAAAACAGAACATATATACGGGTCAGCATTAATCTTAATTTTTTTCGTCTTCTTGATAATATTGTGTTTACGGTAATTTTTCATAGAAACTATCAAAAACTCAATTTAAGTTTGCTGTTCTGGTTCATATTTTTCAAGTAACTCAGTTATATAAGTATATTTATTGGAGAAGGTTAAATTTCAAAATATAAAAAATTATCATAAAATAATGTGTCAAAATGTGCCAACCAGCCTTCCAGAATTTCTTGTAAATTAACTAATGGTCATTGCAGCTCCTTATTTGTTACATCATGTTTTTGTTTCTCTCCATTTCATTATTGTCAGATGTTATTAAGAGATTTTTATAATCTTATAAAATTTAAATATATACAACATGTCCGATTGGAATATCGCTTCATTTTCGAATTAAAGCAATTTGGATACCGCCCCATAATAAAGACATTGTTTTTATTGTTATAACTAACCAATTATAAATTACTTATCTTGAGAAAAACACTACTGTAAACTAAAAGTCTAATAGTATATTATGCAACAAGTGCATATTATACCATTTTCTTCTCCCTTCTGTAAAATACCTAATTATACATCAAGCGTGCGGGAAGTATCATTTTACCACGTCATTTTCGTTTCCGACGGATCCGAGCCGCTTCGGATATATCCAAGATATTGCCGCACGGGTTTCGGAGCAATCGGATGATTTCGGAGATATTTCCGCACGACTTAAAAGTTGACGTTTGTCACGTCAGTGAATGTATTCATTCGTATTGTTATGCAAAAATATCACTCACTCGTTTATTAAACACTGTCTCCGCTGCGCTCCGCTCGTGAGAAATAAAATCGTGATTCAAATGCCATTTACCACAATTTTGGCATAATATCTGCTGATATTCATCTTAATTTACCTTTAAATAATTACTACCTTCTGCAATATGCTGCTGTTAAATTTGTAATGGACCGTTTCATCTTAGTGTCATCTCATTTCAACTGAGCGCAAGTAGCGCAAAACGTTAGCTAGAATACCACTTGAAATGCTCGAGATAGTTATGAAAACTATTCTAGACAGAGTTCCTAGTTGTATTAGCTGGCGTATTAAAAGATGGTAATTTGGTAGATACTAATTTTAGAATGTTTAAAAAAATTAGTTGTAGATAAATATTCTTCCTTCAATATATGAAAGTTTTTCCTCCTATTTGTAGTTATATAAGGAAAACACAATCTAGCACTTAAATGGACAATATACAATAGGTGACTTTAGAATCGCCAGAAAACGAGGCAAATGACAATTAATTGAATGGGGGTATTAATTTATTCTATGTTCCTCGCTGCTTTTTAAACAAACTTTTTGGTTTGTGAAGTAGTGAAAAAATAGAAAGAAAAGCACGTATTTACCTACTATAACTATTGGAGACCTAAGATTTAATTAGAGAATTATTGAATTGAATTTTACTTAATGCAGTTACAAGCAAATCAAAGAAAATCGAAAAAAACTAGATTATTTTCACCGTTTTGGTGCTTTTCATCATCACTAGGGTCACAGATTTTTAAATATGAGAGGGATATAAGGTTAGTGCTTATCGTGTATTTATCATAAAAAGCACGAAAACTTTTATAATACGATGATAGAACAAATTTACAAATTTACACCGGAAGAAAAATAAACTTTTTGAAGCAGTTTAATATATTTCGACCATGTTATTCCAGGAAAACAAAAGCAAAAACGAAACAAAATTTTATTCTTAAAACCTGTAACTATACGAAAATTTTCAAAAAAAAGCAAAACCTTGGTCCAAACATATCTATTAAAAAAATACCTATAGAAAAAGTTGTATAGCCATATTTATATATACCGGGTGTGGCGGTACTGACAAAGGGGTACGGTATTAGAGAAAAAGTCGTTCGTGAAACTCATCGTTTCAATACACAGTTTACTACTTGAATAATTCAATAATTAATTAAATTGGTTAATCTTCAACAATTTATTAGTTTTGGTTAGTTGACTATACTTAATTATTTATAAAAAATAAGTGATTATAATAAATTCTTTGAACAAGGATATCAAAACATAGTTATGTCAGGTGGTGGGTAATTTTGTGCGAACCAAAGAAAATTGTAAAAATTTAAGACATAAGTACCAATATTTTATATTCATTTTAAAGCATGCTAAATAATAAATTAGCGTTTTATTTAGTAAATTCTGGATACTTAGATATTAATTACAACACGTGGAAATTGGAAAGTAGAAAATTTTGCCAAAAAAAACTAAGTTCTTTTAGAGATTTAAGCAAAAAGGAATCACGATTTTCTCTTGGTCGATTTACATAATTATTTTTTTCGAATTGTTCTAGCTACCCGTTTCCCTAATCCCGTACCTGGTGACTGAGACACCCGGTGCGTAATTTAAGGATTTTTATTTATATTTAATTAAGAAATAAGTAGATTGTTAATATTGTTGACTAGATTTTACCAATTTTATAATGTCTGCATCATCTTTTTTCAAAAATTATATTAATAATTCGCCTTATAATGTTTTTATATTCAGTCTTGCAACTTGCAATGTAATATCGTTTGCATCACTGTTGTAGGATTGATCATAGACAAAATAAATGTTAACAATAAAAATTCAAATTAACGTATTTTTTATTTGTTGAAAAGCGGAAGGTGTGTTCAAGGGCGCTGCAGCCGGGAGGTTTAGTAGAAAAGCCGGAGCGTCCTGCCTAAATCGGGAGGGTTGGCAACCCTATTCATCATGTAACGTCAAATTATTACGATATTATCATTATTAAAGGTACTTTAACCATTTTGTACATAGGAAGTCTTATAAAATACTCGATACAATTAAAAATTTTGAAATCAAACGCGCCCATTGTCTCACGAAACGTTCCCGCTGCCAGGATGATGAAAATAGAAAAAAAACGCGGACACCAATTTAAAATATTGATACTTACCGTTGGCAAGGGTCCGAATGTTCCTCTCGAGAACCATTGTTAGCACTTTTTCGCTGCTAACGTTATTCATTTCGTTTGATTTCGTAAAGTCAATTGGGATAAAATCCAAAACGGACGGGTGCGTTAACTCCTACTTTTTTGTCTTTCGCGCTACTACATTTTAATGAGTGCGGGTATGAGTTTGCCGAACGACGCGTTCCATTTGTTTTCGAAAAATTTTCACTTTCGGAATCGCGCGATAATTTATCGTTTCATGCCCGATCGTTAATTAATAACCTCGCGTATACTTTCTTCAAAGTATTACTGACGGACGGTTTGCCGGACGTTGACTGAATAATTAACGATATTTAATAATTAAATTACATTACGCGTAAACTAATAATTTGTGGCGACTATTTTGCAAGTTGAAAATTTCGAAATCAGGCTCCTCCCGCGTTCGACTTAAACTCGTATTGTTCGTGTTTCTTTTTTTAAAAATGTGTCGTTGACTGGCTGGCGTCGATTGTATTACTGCAGCAGGCGTCGTTAAAGTAGTGGAAATGTAGCACGCGACGACGGCGTGACGTCATTAAACGTCTCTGCAGCGTGGTGGTTGCGACGGCGCTTTTTCCGCGGGGGTTGCCAAGTTGCGATGCAAGGCAAAAACATATTTTAAGGACATGTTCCATACTGCAAAATTATAATCATTAATTAAAATTAATTCTTAAAATTAAAAATATACACGGTGTCCCTTTGGAAATCTCTCTCTCTCTCTCTCAGCGGTTATTTTGTCATTTCGATGACATCGTCCATTGGTTTGATACAGCTAATCGTGATCTGGTCTATCCATCGAGTCGGAGAGCAGCCACGTGGTCTACGTCCCTACACCTTGCCTTGAATTATGAGTCTCTCCGTATTGTCCAGACTTTTCCTAATTACAAAATATGTTAGTTGTTTAAGTGGGATTTTACTGGAAAACCTGTTGGTAATATTAAGATCATTTATAATAGAGACGTTTGTACGGCGTTCAGTCCATGGAGTATTGAGTACGGTAGCATCGATCTTCTTACATTCCGCCTGTCTGAGAGTCCACGATTCACATTCATACGTCCATATTGGGAGTACCAGACATTTGGCTAGCCGGTTTTTGATAACTCTGGATATCTGGCGATCTTTCCAGATCTTGGACATTCTCCCAACAACCTTTGCCATGTTGCACATACGCTTCACTTCTTTTTCCGGTATGCCTGTATTTGTCAATAGTGTCAATAGTTCCAGGTATACGTGTGACAATATGAGTTACATTTTGATGTTTGTTATGTTGCCTATCATCTATCATGATTTCGGTTTTTTGGGTATTTAGTTCCAGACGTTTTCTAGCCTATTTATTAAATTGATTAACTCTTCTTGACTGTTAGCGAGTAGAGTTGTCTGGTCAGCGTAGATTATTTATTTTTTGGACATTCATTGAAATGCCTCCTTCAGATGTTTATAGCAACTTTCTCATGATGTGTTCAGCGTATATATTAAATAGTTGAGGGGACAATATACACCCCTATCTCCTTGTTCAAGGGAAAATTCCTTTGAAGATGAATCCAGTATTCTAACTGATCCTGTAGTGCTGTAGTGCTGATACAACTGAGGAGTTGCGGTGCCCCACTTCATTTATGATTTGCCACAGGAGTCAGGGTACTGACTTAATCGAAAACTTTTTTTAATTTACGAAATAAATATAAAGAAGGATGTTGCATTTCCTTGCTTTCTCTATGGTTTGGCGCAAATTTTCTATTAAAGCTTTTTGTCTTTCATTTATAATTTGCAACGTTACATTACTGGCATGTGAGATGAGGAAAATTGTACGATAGTTGCTTCACTTATCACCATTTCTTGTTGAGAGTGACAATGGTGGAGTGTGTCCAGTCGTCGGGCCATTCTCCCGTGTGCCATATTTTATTACAGATTAGATGAAACATTTTTTATCCAGATTCTTTAACAGCTTTTATTATTTCTGCTGTCATTAGGTCTGGTATTTTAATTTGTTTATGGCCCATTGGAAATACTTTATGTTAAACTTACATTACACTAAACTTATCTCCCAAATTGAAATTTTTTGTAACTTGTAATTATTATTATGGCAATATATTAACATTTATCAGCGAAAACTAATCGTACATCGTAAACAAAGATTTAAGCAACTAAACTATTTGATATTTTGTTCGTCATAATGTGTTGATATTAAATACGAATAAAATGATCTTGTATATTGGTCTAACTTATAGGGCAGCAGGATATTGCTGATTATTTAGTCATGCTTTGCTTTAATTTTTAATCTGGTACATTACAGTGATCCTATCTATTTGATTATTATCATTCAAAAGTCAGAAAAACAAATTATTATGAAAAACTAATCTTATCTTATTCATTGAATTTTGTGTAAGGTTGTAGCTAATCAATACTAAAATATTAAACAATAAAAAAATGTTTAAAATTTACAGAGAATGTAAATTTCCATAGCTAACAATTCGGCATATTCCCTCACTTAAATAAAATTATTAAAAGTTTATATAAAAGCCGACATATTATTCGATAACCACACTTTTTTCTGTGTTTTCTTGGTTGAACGTTGAACATTGATGGCAATAAATAGATATTGCACATCAACGATTATTTGAATGAGAGAATTTAAATAGTGCATCGGAGATACGGCAAGCATGTAGTTTATTTTGGTGATGTTTCGACTGAAAAAATGCTTCAAGCGGCAACATTGTAATACGAGTGGCCCTGGATGCGTCAAATTTGGGGGTGTGTATTGAAGAAGCGGAAATATTAAGAGGTGGAGGTCAGTTCATGGGGTCAAGGCAATTCGCAAATATTTATACATCGAATATAAGCACTGATATTGCAACGGAGCTGGATACACGATATATTTAACATGGGGATTTATTAGCAGTTTGAGTATGAAAAATAGTCGTTCAAAATTGTTCCATTCTCTGTCAATAAATAGGAGTGTGTTAAAAAAACTTGGTTTTTTCAAAATTGTAAAATAATCAATATTACTCCTTATATTGCTTTAGTTATTGCCCCAGTTATTAGTTGTCAGATAATGGCAAGAAATGATAAAATAATTAGTAGTAGTGGGAGATCAATAACAATTGTTGTTATATAAATAATAATAATAATATAATTAACTGCTGTAGCAAGAAAAAGAAAAGAGAGACCAAACTGCCACGTGTTATAGCTCTGATCTACTCTGATGATGTTTCCACCAGAGTCACCGCATTGAATTTGTAAAAGTACATTGACGTTTGGAGAACTCAAACACCAGAAAATAGTGCAAGCAGCTACAATTCGAAATGCTACGAAATTTTGAGAACACGGAGAAGATCATCACCACTGGCTCGATAACAGGGAACGGGGCCAATAGTATCTGGGATAACAATATTAAAAAAAGAATCCTATTTCACGAAATATGAAGACAAAAAATAATGTTAGGTGAAATCAAACACGATTAAGAAGTAGATGATTCTAGGATACCATTAAAATCTAAATCACTATTCATAGTATAGTATGGAACACGTGGAGGAACGCAGGAACGCAGTGGAGCGAATGTTTAATGAGTGACTTAGCAAACCTGTAGCATAGTAGACTTTTTGTACGACAGTTAGCTTTGCGTAGATTTTTGCAAAACAACACAAAAATGCTGTAAAATCTCTGGAAACATCCGATTGCTCCCAAATCCGTGCGGTAATATCCCGGAAATAGCCGAAGTGACTCAGATCCGTGGGAAACGAAACTCACGTAGTAAAGTGACGCATTGTGGTCTTCATAAGAAAAATGAAGAGTATTTCAAACAAATGAAAATTGTTAATGACGCAGAATGAACGAACGAAGAACAGTTTCAATATTTGATGCAAGATGTCAAAGAACAACGAGGACTATTTCCTGACTGCAATAAAAGCCGATTTGTATAACTAAATCTAAAAAATGTTTATAAGTATCCAATGCAAATATCTTACAAACGGTTCGAGTAATCGATAAACCACAAGAGACCTTTTTTGTAGAGTATTAAATTTCCTAGAAAAATTGAAAATATTTCACTGTAATTATTTTCCAGTCAATAACATAATTCAGAACAAAAAGTTATTTTCTTTAAATTCTACAATGTTTGACCTCGAATATCTTTGAGATGGTTCGATTAATTTCAAAAGTACAAGAAACCATTTTTGCAGTAAAAGTTATTAATAAAATTGGCTTAATAATCTATTGGTGATAAAATATGATTATATATATGTGAGACAAAAATCGAAAGTACTTTCTAGAGGTAACTAGCCACTAGTTTCTGTGTCAGATCCAAAAAAAAATCATTTATTTTGACCCACCCTAATAATTAGGTATTTTACAGAAGGGAATAGAAAAAGTAATTTACTTCAAACAATACATATAAGTGATCATTTTTTGTTCGTAGTTTTTGTCTCGTGTTCGATTGAGATTTAAAAATTGGAGATTTTCCTCTTAATTTAACTTTAAGTGTGAAAAATTATATCCTGCGACATATGAGAAAATATGTAGATAAATACGCCCTAAAATAACACTAGAATTTCCAGTGCCACGCTCGGAATTTCAGACATAAATTTCTATAATACTTTCATAATTTGAAAAGCAAACAGGTGTGATATTATATCTACGAACTAAAATTTCCGATTCCAGCATTCGTTTTTAGAGAAACGGGAGACGAACAGTGATTTTTGATAACTCGATAATGACCACCTTATTCGTAAGTTTTTACTCATTATAGATTTATTTATTTCAGTAAAATCTCTATAATTTTACGAATTGCTCTTTTGCCAAAACTATTTTCCAAAACTGTCGTTTTTAAATGGAAATTTTACCTTATACTTATAATAACAAAATTTTCAGATTTTTTTAACTGTAACGTTTGCACTTGAGCTTATTATCCTATACGTGCATTCTTTGCCGGTCGATTCGGTTGCAAGAATTAGAGTACCTTCTGAGGAGGTGATATCGTTTGAAAGAGCCGCTTTTCATAGATCTGCGAGAGACGTTGAGTACGAAGATACAGACTCAAAAGATGCAACATTTGCAGGAAAATCAAACAACGCGCCTGCAACTTCAAAAAACATAAAAATTGTATTACGAAGGTATTATGAAAAAATATATTTTTCGATTTGGTTAGTTATATTGTTTATATATGGGCTTTTCTCTAAAAACTGTAAAAAATTATATCGCTTGATCCATCCGGACTAATTAATTTGCTTATGCAGACACAACACATGAAACTCTACATTTATATTTGTTATTTTGTACGACTTTGAACTTTCAGAGATATCGATGACGATAATAACGACAATGACTACGATGACAATAGCGATTGGAGGAATGCAGGATCGGACAGGGATGGGGCGTTGTCAGGTTATATGGAAAAGGACGATAAATTCCCGACAGTAGCTTAAGAAGAGAACCGAAACTTTATTGTGAAGTGGTTGATACAGTGTGATAATGTAGAATAATACAAATCGACTAAATATAAGAGATATGCGAAGTTTGATTTTTATTATTGGTTCAGTTAAAACTGAATGTATTCTAGCAAAAATGAAAAAAATTTAACTTGTATATTAAAAAAGATCAAACTTGCTAGAAAACACTCATCGTTAGTTCATACCCATTTTCATATACCTTTTATGCTACCAAGTTGTAATTAGGGAGAGGTAATATTCTAATAAGTATACATACTTCAAGCCAGTATCCCCTTGTGGCGTGCTATTCAAACTCTACTTAAGGGCACTATCATTACCAAACTGACTGGTTCTAGTATTGGTTGAAAATCTAAGCATTATATATATTTTATCTATGAATACATTTTGTATAATTAGCAAGTAATACGCTTTAAATGTAGTATACGTTTGAAGTTCATGACAAAGAAAAAATGCATCTACTCCAACGATAATTTTAAACTGCAAAGCTTTCTCCTAGGTACAATATTTTTGAGTATTCTGGCAATTTCGTGATTATGAGGTTCAAGCTATAAGAGCAAGCATTAAATTTATATTATATAAGATGCGTTTTAGAATGATGCAAATATGGGAAATACTATTGTTATTATTTCATTTGCGGCTCGTCAATATCAACTTTGAAATTTTCAATGTACATTGTTTTTAAACTTTCAGAACAATTTTTTGAAAAAAAAAAAACAAAACGTTTTACATTCTTCATTCGGGCAACTTAAAGAAATAGTGAATAAAATGAGAATGCATACACCGACATCATAATCTGATTTCATTCAGCAATTTTGTATACGTTCATTTTATTTTTTTATTATGATGCCAACTGATCCTTTGGAAAATTACCGGTACGATATTAGTCACAGTTTAGAAATTTCCAAAGCGTCCCGCTATTGGCTAATTACGGGATTTATTTTCGTTATTTTTAAACTCCTATTTAACACATTTATCTCTCGAAAAATAGGCTCTAATTGATAAAGCAAATTTTATATAATATATAAAAGATTGAAGAAATACGAGATGCAGATTATAATTATTACGAACTGTGTGTATTTAAAACCATTTATTTTAAGAAAGTAGGTACCGTGATAGTTTTGAATTGAATTTAATTTATATGTATATGCATTTATGCAATATGTTTAGTTTGCTCAAGTATTTGTTAAAAAAACAAAAATTCCTTCAAACTTGCTTATTCTTATCGATTTGTTTCAGGGGTATAGAATATGTTGTTCACGATCGTTTTGCTTCTTGGAGTATCGGTTGTTATTTCACTGCCTCTCGATACGATCTCTGACGATACCGTTATTGTTTATGGAGCGATACCAGAATATTATCGATACTTTCACCCAGTTCGAGCCGCCAAAGTCAAAAGAGTACTTCGAGAAATTGACGGTGAGGAAGGTGATCCATTATACTCGTACGGAAAACTATACAGTAACCACAGGTATGTGTTTTTCTACATGTCAAAATTAAATTTTCAACTCAAAAATACGTAAAAAAACTCTTTAAACGTCATCGTTCTTCGATAAACCAACCGACTTGAAGTATTAAATATGTGCACCACGAAATCGTCATCCTGTATAGTGCTTGTTTATTTGATTGCTTGGGTTACCGATGATGATGATTGTATAAATCTTTAATATGTAAATAAAGCTCTTAATCTACTGTATGTCTTTACAGTGGCATAACTATCTAATGATGAAGATCGATCCATTTCTTTCGATCCTTTTATATGTTTCAATATCTTCTATATATTTGGCTTTAGAAAAAAATCTGGGATATTCCGATTTTTCTAGTAAGTGTTTTCAATGTTATCAATAGATTTACTTTTACCATGTTCGCGGACACGATCTATGTGAGCAATATTAAGTAAATACAATATTTCGTAAAGATAGTTTTTTTTGCAGATATTATGATCCATACTATGACGATGCAGGCGTCCTAAGACCAGGCTCCGATACCGGATACATGGAGAGTTACGATAGCTTTCCCACAGTTGCTTAAACAACGTCCGCAGACTACAAATTAAAGGACTAATTCGTCGACCAAAAAGTTATCTTATTGATGTCTAAATATACAAAGCTATTAATTTAATTTATAACATTATTGTGTCCTCTTAGATGACTAAATTAGCTTTAATGAATTATAATTATCTGATAAATAAAAAGGCTGGCTATTAAAAATTGTTTATTGCTACCATTACCATCCATATCATCCTTTGTTGAATGATCGAATGGACGTAACTATAGTTCTCTGAACCGTTCCTTATAAGCAATGTTTCAGCCTTCGCAGTAGCAAATAACAGTGAGTTTGTTTTTCGCTTTAGTCACACAGGTTCATATTTGAAAAGATTCCATTCAAATTTGGAGGCGCACATTATGAATTTACTATAAATTTTGCCAGCCAGCAGCAGTTAATAAAATTTCGTTTTAAATCATTCAAGGAAAATGGTCTATTTGCATAGATACTGAACTTAATTTAGCATTTTGCTATTTTAAGTTATTAAATAAACTTACCGTTCTTATTGCAGAGTCGAAATTCTTTTTTACAATAATTACGCATTTAATTATGCATTTAATAACTACGTCCAATATAATTAAATGTCTGAATTTAAGGTTTATCGAATATTTTTTTATATTACCTATACAAATTCACTTTCATTTTGGTAAGTTTCCTTTTGGTTTCTAGCTGACTAATATGTATTATTATAAACTTCATGGTTCAAAACTTGAAACTAATAAAATGTATCTAATAATTTAATTATATTTGATGACTAATAAAATGTTGTTTTCTGATTTCCACTTTGGTTGAAGATCCTTAACTTTATTAGCGTAAAACTGGACGGATGTACGTAAATAATGCAACAGCAATTTTGTGGGGCGAATAATAATACGATAATTAAATAAACCGGAGGTGGAAATTTTTTGTTAGTGACTTACTTTTTTTTGAATTTCTAACACTTTAGGGCACCTCCTTTTTCGCTTACAATAATGAAAAATATCAAGCTTCAATAAAACAAAAGTCGTACTTTATAGCTCATGTTGTAGAGAGCAATAATTTTTAAAAAACTTTGGTGGTAGCATTACTAATTACGTATTTGGGATTAAATTTTATTTTTTTTGTTAGCTTTTCCATAATAGACCGCATTACCAGTTGGATTCGCTTTTCTTTAAATAAAAAGAGATAATTCTCAAGTTGTCAAGACCTAAGCAAGAAAAAACCATACTAAATTAAAGCAAATCGTATTATCGATTCCAAAGAGTGTACTTGATCATATTCATAGACGACGTGATTATCTAATTTTTCCTCTATTCTTGCAAGGTATGTTTAATATAATCCCGAAATAGTTAGGGTATTAAGTTTCGTCGTAATTCTTGAGGAATAAACAAAAAAGGCTTTGTTATTAACAAATGAGTCAGTTGTAAGTAGGCATGTCAATAATTACAAAGTTAAACTATACTCGGATACATTCCAAGAAAGACAAACAATTCCATTGCGTTAACACCTTTTTGAGTCAACGGGTCAATTTTTATATATATAACATAAACAATCCGGAAAGGGTGTCAGTATAAGCAGTAATTTCAAGAAGTGGTTACAGCATTAAATGGTGCATTGGTTATTACATCATTATGGATTACAATAATATTTATGTAAGTAGTACTTACAGTGTAAATTTTGTTTTATTTTATTTATTTATTAATTAATTTGGTATTTTTTTGCATCTTGCAGAAAATGGTATTGTTAATGCTCTTGACAGAAACGGTACGTTCATGGCCAAATCAGAGACTCGCAGCACAAAATAAAGACACCGAAATCGTCTACATACCGTATGATGTAAAATACGTTCCAATAGAAGTACCAGAGTCTTTGAGCGATCAGCTATCGCATAGAATGTTAACAACGTTTCCTGTACATGAAACTATTTTAAATCAAATGGGAGTTAAAAAAAATGCCTCCTTTTCAATTTTAGAGAAGGAAACAGATGCTTCTAAATTCCATCGATCTAAGAGAGAAATCAACCCTAATTCCAGAAATCCACTGGATCATGTTGTGGTCAGAAGGCAAACGTATTCGGCGCCTTATAGAAGACGCCTGATGTATAGACCTCTAGTGCAATATAGAAGAAACTTTAGCAGCAGAAGAAGAATTGATGTTCCTCCAAGAAGAAATGCATTGGTTGGGTATTTGAACGACAGAGATTATTTTCCCACAGTCGCATAATCCATCACACAAAAGTTTTTATGTATGGAACTGATTGACTTTGTGATAGTATGTCATAAGATATTTATTTTAATTTATGTTTTGAATTGTTAATTTTAATAAAAATATGTTGCACTACATTTGTGTCTTTTGCTTTCTGCTAGACAAAGGTTGTTTACTGTGTCAACTAGTTGTTTTGTTTATTTGAGTCTGATATCTCAAACCATGATATTTTCCTACAGGAAGGAAATGATCTTCCTAGCATGTACCGTGCGTTCAATTTATCTTGATAACATTTTAATTGACTCTAACTTTTTTGTTTTTAGAGATATCAAGGAAAACAAAAAACAAAATGTAGGGTTAGTAGCCAACTTTTTTTCCAAGTGAGTCTACATCTTATTTTTTTTAATGGAACACCCTATATATTATATATGTGTTTAATAGAATATCTTATTCCGATGACAATGATATAACAGACTTTATATTTTAGTCCACTCTTTTGTGACAAATCGGCAAAAATTTGAAATTTTTATATAATTTCCAAGAGTGCCCTGACTGACAAATAAAAATATGTGTTTTTTTGACATATTAGTAAACATGGTTGATGGTTGAATCATTGTCCAAGTCATTATTGTTAAAATGGTTTTTCGCGAATTTTGCATCCGTGAAAGGAGTGATATGCTTCAAGTATACTTTCTGAATAATAAAAGTGCAACTGCAGCTTGTCGTCAGTATATTAGACTTTATCCAGAGCGCCGAGTTCCTTCAAAACAGATATTTTCAAGGCTGTCAATAGTATATTATGCAACGGCATTTGACTCTCGAGTTTATTTATTACAAGGGGAGCGAGTGTTTAATAAACGAGTGAGTTAAATAGTTTACCGAACGTGTTGCATATTATACTTTTTTCTACGACTGTTAGTTTTTGGGTACATTTTCGCAAAAACAACACGGTTACATTCACTGACATGACCGTCAGAATTGACAAAATTCAAAGCGTGGGAAATATCTCCGAAAACATCCGATTGCTCCCGAACCCGTTCGGTAAAATCCCGGAAATGCCCGAAGTGGCTCGGATTCGTGGGAAACGAAACTGACGTGGTAAAGTGACGCTTCCCGCGAACATGACGATCGGTGCGAAATTAGGTATTTTACAGACGGGAGTAGAAAAAGAAATTTGCAGAAAATAGTAACGTATTAAATGCTAAAAAGCTATGCCGGAATTATAATGTTTTAAATGAAGAAAATAAGGCAAACATTAGGATTCCATATCCAATTTCCTCTATTACTAAAATATATGAAGAGACATGTATTTTTTGAGGATCAATCCAGTTTTGAAAGAATATAAATATAAAGCATTTAAATTTCATAAAACTAAAAAACTAAGTGCAGAACAATGTCAAAGGAGGATGAAGTTTTCATTGGATTTTTTAAATAGACATAAAGGGAATAATAATTTTTTGAAAAACATTTTATGGACTTATGTTCGTTCACTACAGTAAACAGCATGGACACAATTCGCGATATTGGGCTTTAAATAATCCTAAACAAATACACGAAATAAAAACCCATCGGTACCAATCGTATGGTATGGTGTCATACTTATATCATATTTATAGATCAAAAGTTAACTGGAGATCATTATTTGCAACTCTAAGAGCACCGAATAGAACAATATATGCCCCTAAATATATCAGCGCTGATTATATGGCAGGAAGACGGTGCCCCTCCTTATAATGTTGTGCAAGTTAAAAAATTTCCTAAAATGGAATATGACCGGTCGTTCGATAGGGAACGGCGGAACTATGGGTGGTCCAGCCAACAGCCCCGACTTAACTTTAATGGATTTTTTCTTTTGGGGACACACAAAATCGCACAGAACTCCTTCTAATAATATCGTGATATCGTGGAACTTCGGCAAAGGCAATCAATCAGTTTAGAGACAATCCGGAATCGTTACTAAATGCAAGACATAATACAATTAGAGTATATGAGAAATGTGTTCAGGAAAATGGAGCTCAGATACAATTTAGAATACAATTTTTTACTTTAGTGTGTCTTGTAATTGTTAGTGTTTTTGTTCTACTTTAATATGTAAATAATTATTGTTGTTGCAGTCAGTCGGGACAGTCTTTGAAATTATATAAAAATTTCTCTACCGATTTGCCAAAAAAGAGTGGACTAAAATATAAAGTGTGTTACATCATTGTAATCGGAATACGATATTCTATGAAACGCAAGGTTAAAATTTAAAAATTTATAAAAACATGATGTACGCTTATATGTCAGAAAATTGATAGTGTTTTGTTTCATACGTCACTTGGAAAAAACTTGGCTACTAACAATACATTTTGTTTTTTTGTTTACTTTCATACCTCTAAAAACAAGAAAGTTACAGCCAATTAAAATCTTATCAAGATAAATTGAACGCACGCAACACACTAACCTGCACTTTGCGCCATTTTTTTAAACCGCGATCTTCATATACACAACGGGTTTTTTCCTGAAAATCCATTCAAAATATGTTTTCAATAATCCAATACCTGTAACGGTAATAATGACTGTTCTTATTTGTTCCAACTTTTAATATCTATAATAATAGTTCTATCGTTATATAGGCACACATATTCGCTTTTATATATTCTATACATAATTATCTGCAAATCGGTAGATCAAACAAATTCTGCTGTCACGTTTCAATTACCAGATGCGATATGGCGTCGGTAACTACATCTGATTTGTTGTGACGCAAATTCAAATGAAGTTCAGGCTATGCAAAGTTTGATTTTTGTGGTTTTATTATTATAAACAAGCAACTTCAACATTCATTTCATTTTGCTTTATTAAAGCGATTTTAGGCATGTCATTGTTAACCTTAACCAAAGTAAATGTATATAGCAATGTATAATGTCTTGAAATTTTCTTGGGTATTGCGCCTCTTGAAAATATTTTAATTTTGTCACATTTATAAAATTGATGACATTTGATGTTACGTTAATAGATTACACCTTTAAAATGTGATGTGAAAAACTCCAAACCTTTTTCAAGGAACACAAAATTCAAATAGAACTCAAAGGTTATAATTTACAAAAAAAACATATCTCATCACTAAACTCAAAACAAAAATTCCGGTTGAAAGAAGAAGTAATGTAGTATATGAAATTCCATGCTTTAATTGCGATAGTGCGTATAAAGGACAAACAAGCCAACATTTAAAAAATTGGATCATTGAGCATAATTATTACAAAAAAAAAACAGCTCTTATTCTCATTATGACACCAACACCACACATTTAATTTACAAAAGGTTAAAATCTTACTAACATAACCAAACACTAAAAAAAGGGAACTTTATGAAAGAATGGAAATCAAAAAAAATAAAAAATCAATTAATTACAAAACCATTTTAAAGGCCTTAACAAAATATATCATTCAATTTTAAACTAATAAAATTAAATCATCCAGCATATATTACTTTTAACAAAACTTCTGCGTCGGTTTTTGCTGAGTCGAACTTGCTGACGTTTCGCCAATCATCCTGTTGGCTCCTTCAGAGCTTGACTGAAATTGGCTCGTATTTTACTCTGTACCTGCTTATATATTGTTTGAGGGGGGCGGTGCTAAATGAGGGGCATAAACACGGTCTCGGATGACTGATTCCCATATTGGTGACAGGTAGAGACCTGAGTCGCGGTTAAGATTGTTAGATTGTTTATAGATTTCAATAGACTCTCGGATTTTTCGTTGGTAGAAGAACTGATTACATGCAAGAATTTTAGTTTTATCGAATAAAATTTTATGTCCGGATTTATGAGTGTGTTCGGCAACAGCACATGAGTTTATTTGTCTTAGTCGTAAGGCTCTTTCGTGTTCTTTGAGCCTAGTTGATATTTTTCGTTGGGTCTCTCCAATGTATTCTTTGCCGCATATGAAGTCGAGAGATTTTTGGAGAAGTGGTAAATCTGGTTTTGACGCTATACTTCTTTAAAACTTTTGATATGTGGTCAGTGATGTTTTGAATGTAAGGAAGGACCACAGTGGCAAGTGAACGATTGCTTGCGGCCTCATTGCTATTGAAAGGTTGTGGTGAAGTGTATTTTTTTATGGAACGCTTAATATCTTTATTGTAGAGATTATTAGAGAGAAGAGCAGAGGTAAGGTGTTTTAATTGTGGGTTCAGTGACTCGGGCTGAGATAGTTTTAAGGGTCTGTAAACAAGAGAGTTGATAACCGATGATTTTTGTGCCGGATGGTAATGTGACCATGCATTAGGATATCAGTCTGTGTGCGTAGGTTTTCTATAAACACAATGACCCAATGTTAGGTCTGATTTTCTATTGATAAGAATGTCTAAGAATAGAAGGTTATTATTAGTTTCCAACTCAATGGTAAAACGTATGTTGGGGTGTATAGAATTTAAATGTCTAAGAAAATCTACTAGGGTTTCTTGACCATGAGGTCAAATAACAAAACTATCATCGACGTAGCGTTTCCATAATTTTGGTTTTAGATGAAAGGTGTCGAGAGCTTTCTTCTCAAAGGCTTCCATAAATATATTCGCGATGACTTGTGTTCCTGATGTTTGTTCAACAATTTTACCGTTATAAGAAAAATATGTTCCTGACAATTATTTTTCAATTAAGGTGAGAAGCTTTGGTTCCAGATTGTCGGACCTTAATATATCTGAAATGATGTCGAGAGTTTCATGAATAGAAAGTTTGCTGAAGAGGGATTCTACGTCGAAACTAGCTAGAATATCTTGTGTATCGAATAATACGAGTCAGTTTCAGTGAAGCTCTGAAGAAGCGAACAGGATGATTGGCGAAACGTCGGCAAGTTTGACTCAGCAAAAACCGACGGAGGAGGAATACAGAAATAACCTGTGGAAGTTTCTTGTCATCAATGTCATCAATTTTAAAAAATGTGACTTATAAAAAATTAAGATATTTTGAAAAAGATCGAAATTACGATCGGAACGTCAATAGATATTTAAAAAAATTACGTTATTTGTTTTCAAGAGACCTAATACCCAAAAAAATTTCAAGAATTCACAAAACGATTCCAGAAACTACCCCTATTAAAATTTCACATGTATATATGTATACATATAGATGGTTGAAAATTATCTAGTCTTCTCACTTTTTTGTGCTACCCCGCACAATTATTAACAACACACAATCAATATTTTTTAACATGTTTGCATATATCGTAAAATTTTTACTCGAAACTTTACCGAAAATTCCAGCATTGAGACGTTAATAGCCAATCAAATAAACACCAAAACCTGACGCATTCAAACGGAATAATTTGTACATATTTATCTACCGTCGATTTTTCTCTGGAATACTGAAACGCATTCAAAGTGGATATTCCGAAAGAGACGTCAAAAAATGAAATGACGTGCCAAAATAAAGACCGGTAAACACAAAAATAACCCAATCATAATCAGCTAAGTAAATCAGAGGATATTTTCAGAGAACTGTAAACACGTAGAAATATTAACACCTTCTTTCAAGCCATATATATATAGCCGAATAACAGGTTGATTTCACGAAAAAAATTATTGCACGCAAAGTGGGATAAGGAAGTTTGAGTGGCCGAAGTTTGTTCATGTTTACTGTGCCTTTCGACATGTACTGGGTAAGTATTTTTTTATGTTTGTCAATTATCAGATTTTATAGAAATCTGTTTTAGTTACCAGACCTAAATATATTTACTCCATTTCAGTTAACATTTTTGTCACTTGCGAGTCTCGGTTTGGTCAGTTCTCTCCCAATACGGCATTCCGATTTAAAAAACGAGACTGACTATGAAGTCATTTACGTCCCTTACGATGTTAAATACGTTCCAGTAGAAGTACCAATCAACGTAAACGACGTAAAAAAATCCAACACCTTCAAACTTGACGAAAATGTAGGATCACTTGCCAATCAAGAAATTTTGAAAAATGTTTTTGCAGAAAGCAAAGCTAATATTTTACCAAAGATTGCGTACAAATCTACAGATTTGCAAAGAGATTCTACGTCAGCCGTGTCCAACTTTAGCGACAGCACTGACCCAGAAGGTATAATCTTGATACCTCTGACTGCATCTAATATTCCCGGAGGCGAGCATCAGATTGTTAAGAGACAAGCCCCAGGCAATATAGTTGTAAGGCCAGTAGTAACGTACAGGCGATTACTGAGGAGAATATCAAGGCCTCCAGCCTTCGTTGGTTATTTAAACGACAACGATGACTTTCCAACGGTAGCAGTTTAAGCACTCCATACTAATACAAGTTTAGTTCCTATCGCTCATTTTGTTTATTGTAAATATCCATAGTGTAATGACAGTAGTAATTTATTATTAGTGTTTTTAAGTTGCTTATTTCTGGTGATAAGAATGATATAGGAGAAATGTTATACGGTGCATTTATTTTGTGATATGGATATAAATAAGACTAGAATAAATTTCGTTAGAGCAAACTATTGTTTTAGTTAAGGCAGATTTGCCCTTAGAAGAAATTAATTAATAAATTCACGAACTCACTAAGTTTAGACACAGTGTAACCGGTTTATTAAGGAATGATGCCTCAGAATTTCTTAAGATTATCAAAGAAAGCAGAGCAAAATTTGTTTGGATTCATGTATACTTTTAAAATGTTATATTTGTATTTACGTAGTCAAGTAACTACTTTCTTATTTTAAATGGAGCACCCGGTATATTAAATAATTTTTGAATTCTTTGGAAAATTCTAAACATGTATAATACCTCACCGTTTCTGACATATTATGAATTTTATGTCAACAGTGACGTCTAAATATATCTTCAATTTGTGCGATTGTTAGATAGCCTTTGTTACATATTGGGGTTGATTTTCCTATAGAAGGGGATCTACTGCATTTATTTGTTGATATTTTGAAAATAGATAAATACAAGGTGATCAAAAAGTAGCATTAAAAATGTAAATGTACAATTCCCCATTTCTATAATTTTTTCGTATTTCGCATTTGAATAAGGTTGTTCGTTTGAAAAAGTTGTAGATTTCGAGAAATTAGTAATAAAACGGTTTTTAATTGTAAAAATTAACGACCACGAAACATGGCAAAAAAAATCGAGCACTACAGAAACGTAACAATTTGGGTTTCGTATTAATTTGGAAGTCAATGTTTGATACCTAACTTCTCTTCATTTCTTATTATTGTTTCTGATAAAAATGATCTGACGCCTATAAACCGTTTTAATAAAAAAAAAACTAAATAATGGAGGTAATGTTAACAGCAAATAAAGTAAATTAAGTAGACCGTTTATTATTTTCAACGTTCAGAAAAAATTAAGGTCACCTTTTTTTTTAAGTCATAAATATCATAAAGTTATGAAAATGGGCTGTTTACATTTGAAATAAATTACTTTTTTGTGTGTGTTGTGATTAAAAAAAATAAAGTTGTTACTAGTTCACGAAAATACAAAATCCCTGTATATAACAAATGTTTGGTCAAAAGCCAACCGCCCGGGAGATATGCTGAAAAAAATAATATTTTTATTTTTTATCTAAAAAACGAATATAGATAGAACAATAAAATATTGCCGGAGCATTACTATTATAAAAACACACTTCTTACATAATATTTATTTCCTATAATCCTTCTTAACTAATTTTGAGGAAAACATGCTATGACATAAAAAATATGTATTTTTTAATTTTATTTTTTGAATTTGAATGAATTGAATTCAATAATTTTTTTGAGATAAGGTGTCATTACATAATAAACGGACCAGCCCGTACAAGTAGCCCACCGTACTCAGGTCGAATGCCATCTTCAAAAATTAATGAATTTCTTCTTTTTCTTGTTTCTATGAACTCACGTCTTTTTAGACGTCCGCCCATTTTTTTCTATTAATAAATAAATACGTCCTCGGCGAGGTTTCTGTCAAATTGGGAGATGCCAATTTGAAACTGAATATGGATCCCAAAGTAAAATGTTTGTTTTTTATTAACTTGCATGGATTTCTGGAATAACTTAATTTCTTTTGAATTACATATATTTACAATTTCATTTGGAGGTTGTTGGAATCGTGCGTATCGGTATTTATGAGACAACGAATTTAGGGTCGAATATATTGAATATAATACGTTTCGCCGTATAATTCAAATTTAGTTTTGGTTAGTTTCTCAATAAATAATTTAACAGAGTAAATATAAATTATTTATAAATATATACACATATGAAAAATAAATTAATTAAAACAAAAAGGCAAGATACATATTGCACTACATCAATGGGTTAATTAATATAAGTGCACAATTTTTTAATGTACACCTATTCCTTATTTCGGAGAGGTCCTCCTAAAAACGAACAGAGGTTTAAAAATCGTGGCTGCGGCTGGTTCCATCTCTTCTCTTAATTCTTCATGGGCATTAGGCGGAATTACAATTCTTTGGTAGCTAGCATCCAAATCTATTGGCTTTGAAGATTTGTCGTGGATGCTATTTACAGCAGCATCAGAAAATTCGAAAGCTGTTGTTTTACTTGGTGTAGGATATCCATTGATGGCAGTTACGACGAGATAAAAAACGATCAATATTTTCTGAAAAAATAAGAGAATTTTTTAATTTATTAAGATCAAGAACAAGTTTTTCATAAAATAAATTTTTCGTAATATAGTATATTTATAGTATCTGAAATTTATCATAATGTGTACTACATGTTTATTAAAGATGTAAAAATGTTTTTCTTTTTAACTTTACTCATGTGACCAATGTCATGTCTTCGAAATGTTATGTCAAACAAGCACAAAATTTAGAATAACAATAGCGAGCTACGAACGTTGTATAGTTGGTATTAATCTGTTACTTTTGTAGGAAATAATTAGATACGTATATGTGTTTACAAAATTCTGAAAGGGTGTCAAACGTCTTCCAAGATGAACCGATTTTTAAGGGTTTAATATTAATCATTTTATTTTTTGTGACGTTTCAGCCTTCAAGACCTTCTTCAGACATTTAATTTTAACCTACAAAAATGTATTTTTAAATAAAATTATTTATAACATTGTTTTCCTGGTCATAATTAAAATATAGATAAAAATTTGTATAGGAGTCAGCAAATTTTTATCTATGTTTTAATTATGACCAGGAAAACAATGCTATAAATAATTTTATTTAAAAATACATTTTTGTAGGTTAAAATTAAATGTCTGAAGAAGGTCTTGAAGGCCGAAACGTCACAAAAAATAAAATGTTTCACAAGTAATGGAAACTTATTTTAATTTCACTAAAAAAAGGACCAAAAAAAACCCAAGAACCATTTCTTAAGAATATATAAAATAAAAAGGATCCAAGACCTCACAAACTAGAAATATATATATATATATATATATATATATATATATATATATATATATATATATATATATATATATATATATATATATATATATATATATATATATATATATATATATATATATATGTTGGTTTTCAAAATATGCTGCGCTACGAATGTATTGTATAACAAAGCAACAATGAACGCGTAAAACAAAGAACAGAAACTTCACATTAAAAAAAAATAACTATGAATCAAAGAATAAAACACTTACTTTGTGCATTTTGTTGCACTAAACCTGAAGTTCTGGAAAAAAAGTGGTTAAATCTCTTACGATAGTTGCGGTTCGCTTCTCTTATTAATATGAATTTCGAATGCGGCATTGCAGTATATTTATACGGCACATTTAAATAAACAATGTTTCTAGATCAAAATATCACAAGGTTACTAAAGTACGTTCGCGGAGGACTCTTTACTCAAAAAATTATCACTTGCTATTTACCAGAATCGTATCGATGCCGTGATGGTCACGTAAAAAACAATAAATGGACATAAACAATGTTGAAAATTGCAAGTTTTATTCCATTGCCGTTCAAAATAGACTAAAGTCACTCGCTTATTCCAAAAATTACAAATAGCTAGAATCTAAATAATCATTTGTCCTGTGAGTAACATGCGTAGCATAGTTCAGCATTGAAGACACGGCTAAAGTGGATAAATTGGTAATAGCAGTATTTAAAGGTCAGACATATTACAAAAAAAACAACTTTAGGACTACTTCTGGAAAAAGTGTGGAGTTAAAATTTTAAGCAAAGTTGCAAGGTTGATTATAGATCATATAAACTAAAAAAACGGATTCAGATAGACAGGATCACTCGAAAAAGAAATATTGTTATTTTTTAAATTATTTTTAAATAACTATATTACTCATCATCATCAGAGAAATGGCTTTACATTATTGCCTTTCTATGGGGGTATGGCCGCTCAATTAAATATATTCTATTTTTTTATATTTAAAGCAAGGCGCGCAAGATTAGTGAGACACCCTGTATAATACTACATTCCAAATTTAGAAATTGTGAAACCGTTACCCTTGGGCATTGCTTTTTTCAAATTCGACCAGATTCACAATCTCTATATGCATAACAAACTTATACTGTGCATACCCAAATACAAGGCCAATATTTCGAAAGAGCTTCACTTCTCAGGCGTACCACGTTTCTAATAAAAAAAATTCCTATTAAATGAAGTCATTTGCATGCGATTAAAAATGCAATAAATTTTCAGCAGGAGTGTGCGAGGCATATAATTCTTAATTGTAATAAATTAGTTTAGGATTTTCTAATATAATAAGTATTAATTTTAGCTCTACCCTCGGTGCTCTATTTTGTATTTATTGATAACACATGGAATTTGTGGCCTTAAATCTTTGTCCAAATTTGTCATTTTGTACTTTATTTTTAATCATTAAGAAAGACAACAAAATTACGAAGTGCGACAACAGCTAGCTGCTAAACTTTGCTTTTTGTTATTGTATTTACATCTATATAATATTTTATTATATTTTGAAGATTTGTTCAGTAAAATTGTTACACAAGCAAATGTTTTAATTAGAAAAGACCTAACAAAAAGCTAAAGCGGTTGCGTGATACGAATTTAAGAGAAGATCAGAAAACTATTAGTTTATTTACAATATTAACACCTTAAACAAGGTATTGAATTATACCAAAAAAAAATCTAGGGCAACAGTAAATAAACAACCAATAGCTTATTGAAAAACGTTTTTGATCAATAAATTATTATTACAATCTGAAAATTATTATATAATATCACATCGAATAAGTTTATTCTTTGGTTGGTAGAAATAAACTAACCGTATATTCAACCCTGGTAAGGATTATATCTTCTCCTTTTCGCAAGTGTTTTCCTATAGACAAAAAGAGGCCTGAATATTATCGCCTCTGCAACGTCCATATCTTCGATATTTATTGCCTCGGTGCCACGGGAAGTTGGAAATGCTGCACGATAATTTTTTATGTCTGGTTCTTCCACATAATTAGGCAATGATTTTCTTGCAGTGGGATTGCTTGTAGATGGATGTGGATACGCTTTCGTGACATTCGCCAGGCAAATTGTAATGATCAAAAACATTTCCTATAACAAAATTCGTAAATATCTAATGAATTAATAGCAATAAAATATTGTATTAAATGTTTACTTAATAATGATAAGTTCGAAAGTAGCCTTTCACGACATGTTATGTTTATCTTCCTACTTACTTTCTGCATTTTATGTAAGTCTTTCCCGCAAACCGCAAGGGATACCTTCTAACAAATGAGCGTCTCACTTCTTTCACGGGGAATACTCACCAAAACTTTATGCCGTTTATTTATAGCCAAATGTAAAATAAATAAATTTCTAGATCAAGATGCCGCACGGTGGTAGCAAATTGATGAAAGTTGGCTCAAACAATTAGCACATTTTTATTTGATTCCTGACAAATTTCTGACAGCATTTTATTCTCATTAAAAACGTATGAACCAGCAGTAAGGAATGCGAAAAGTACATAAGAAAAGTAATTATATTTCTGTACGGGTATAGACGTCATTTACTCGAATCATTAATGAAAGCGAGAAAGGTTGGAGAATTATTGCTTTGCAAATTATGTGAAAGACAAACCAAAACTGTTCACTGTTATACATTTAATTTAATTTTTGAAAAAGTGTTTTCTAAAATTCCCGTGAATTACGCTGTATATAATATAATTAATTTTTACTGCCGATAATATGCAACAGTCGGTACAACCACTAAAAAGGATGACAACATCAAATATTGTTGACAGGATCATCATGACATTATCGTATTGTCTAAATCCCAAGTATTTTGGTTTTATATGCCCTAGATCGGCAATTGACTATTATTATTAAAATGTCTCAAATGGGAGATCATCCGGCTATGGCGGTTAGCCCTAGAAGTTCGGCAACATTGTACTTATCGTTGCTGAGGACGTTTCTTATGAAAATGTTTAATTTTTCTTCATCTTTATCAAACTGGCTAATGCAAGTGAGTCGATAATATGATTTAGTTAATTGCAATTACAACAGTGTAAGATTTAAACCTATTGTTTAAACCTATTACAACCATTATATATTTATGATCTTTTTTGCTTTTCAGGTATCGTATTTCGCGTTGACGCTCTGCTTTCATGCCTTTTGTAACCCAGTTGTCTGGTTTGTCTTTAAAACAATGTTTTGTATCCTTACAGAAGTTTTCGTATATTTAGTTTTGGGGGTTTGTTCCTTTTTAATCAGCGTGATTACCAATATTGATGAATATTACACTAAAGGTAAATCACCTCAGAAACCCGTTGAAAATTCAAATGTGATTGATATTCAAGGCAAGTATTTCGTTTCTAATTTTTTAAATAGATTTTTTTATTTTAATTGATTTAATCATTTCAAAAAATTAAGTTTCCTTGTAGAGTTCATTTGACAAGAGTTGGTACTCGCATATATTTTTGTGTCAAATTTAATAATTGTTCTAGAGCTTCGTTACAGCAGAGTCTAGAACTGACTTTGAATTGTACTAAATTTTTTGAAACTTTTATATTCGCGCATGCTCTGAAACTAAGCAGTAAATGTCAAGTAACGATTGCCTTTGGTGGAGTGTTGTCTTTGATAAAATGTTATTTTGTTAATCTTTTTTGAATTCTTATAGTTTTATGATTTTTGTGTTCTTCAGAAACACACATAAACTTAAGGAAGTTTAGTTTTTAAGGAACTATTGAATACAAGCTCATAATTTTGTGTCAGCCTATATTAGAACCTTTGCATTTATTTAAAAAATGCTAACTTACCCTTGTGAAATGACCTTTACTAAGGTTTCCCTCAAACCTTAGAGAGCTTTTTGATCGGTTTCTTTAAAAAATAACAATAAATCTAGATTTATTTATTTTTCAGATTTTAAAAAGAAAAATGTTCGCAAGTTTTTGGAAAAGCAAGACTATTTTTGAAATAATAAGTGCGTTGTAACTTTACAAATTAAAAGGGATGAGTGATTGTTTCCTTAGTCTTATTTGGTTGTCGGACTGTTAACTTTTAGAAAGTTCATGGATGCCCAAAAACTTTCGCGTTAATGTAAGGTGTCATTAACGAACCTTATAAAGGGGTAGGTAAAGTTCCATCTATAAGTTGTATAGCTACTACTCCAACTCGAAAAGACGCTAGTTTAGTGAACAATGTTTTCGTATTTATGTTGCGTTGCATTGGTAAGTCAAATTCGTCATTATTATGAGAAAATTTAATAATTATTTAATTAACACATACATAATCATTTTGGTTATTTCTGATCAGTTGTAAAAGATTTCACTAAATAATAATAAAGCCTTTTTTGGAAAAACTTTGAAGTTTTTTATATTAAAGAGAATAATAGATATAATGGGTGTACCTTAATAAATGTCCGACATTTCAAAGGACATTATTTTTAAGAAAAAATCTCATCTAAAATCTGCCCGCAAGTCCTTCGTTTCCGGGATACGGTGCGTTTAAGATTAAAAGTGTTTGGTGTTAAATATAAAAAAAATCCAGTTAGTATCCACATGCTGAATAAATTTTATCTTTTGCTTTTCTTCGTATTCGTTATTTGTTATTTTGTCTTTTAAATTAGTTTTGAACTATTTTTTTTATAGTCAATTACTGAAAAAAACCTATCTGAAAGTTAAATTGAATACCAAAGAATTATTAAATGTGTTTCTCTCTGTTTCTGACTTTTCCGATTTCGAACACAAAGTATATAAAAAACTAGGTCCTTGCAGGCTGTTGTTTATATGTTTTTTTTCTTAAAAATGTTTGAATTTTATTTTAAGCTTTCTGACTTTAAGACGACATATCGCACATCATTTACGTTTTTAGTATATATCTGTTATAATGACACACCCCTTTAATAATTAAAAACCTTTCCATCAAAAATGGTTAGACCCTTCTGGTGAGTACATTTGATGAAATATTACAATTTGTCAAGTACCAATTTTTTTGAGGACAATTAAATTATCCAAAACGATTTATCTAACATGTTTTGCTTTGTGCAATTATAGCAAGAAAACCAAACGAATGTTAACACAAAATCCAAAAAAATAAAAATAAAAATATTTTTTTTATTGTAGAGTTAACAAACGGCGAAGAACGCTGACGCACTAAAATTAGTAAACGGTATTTTCTGGAACCGATTGCACTTTCAATTTTGGTTTCTGCAATTGACGTCAATCTGTAAACATACTAATCATTTTGCCATAAGAGGAACTACTTTCTCGAAACGCGCGCTAAAAATAAGTTTCAACTATGGAGGGAAAATCCATTTTTTTAATAGTCTTTACAGGGTGTTCGCCGAAGCTCACTGATATCTTTCGGTTTAAAATATTTTTAGTCAGACCACTAACACCGTCAAAATTTTAAAGAACACCCACCCTCCTTTGAAATCTACGTTTAATTATCAGTTAATTCCCGCCCATCCGTTTTGGTTTTGAGATGGGGTTTACTCAAAATTTTGGATTTATGCCATTTTGTCATTTTCATTGTTCAGGCTTATATAGTTGGCACATAAACTTTTTGGAATGACGTCATTTTTGGTTATTTTTGTTTAATCTATGTCGACTGACAGAGACAAATTTAAAAAAAATCTTAGTCGTTTCTTTATAACAGTCAATGCCGGTTTTTGTTAGGTGTCTTTCAGAATATATTCATCAAAATGACATTGATTTGTTGTGACTCTAATAAACTTGCAAAGATGCTGCAAAGATATAATATGCAATCGCAGCTTATAGTTTTGATTAGTTATGGCGAGTTTTGAACATCTTGAAGATATTTTGAAATCGAAAATACAAACGAACTAATGTTATATCCGAATCAGAGACTAAGCAACAATATAAACACATCAAAAAAAGTTTTTCTCTTGTGTAAAGGATTTTATCTGCAAATTCCTACAGAAAATTATTAGTTCTTGGAATACGGTGTTCGGCACCACCAAACAATAAACTAACTGAAACTAAAAATTGAAACAGTACTGGCAGATATGCTTAACAAAAACATTGCGGCAGCAGATAAGCGATGGTGCCAAAATATCAAATATACAGTATGGCCGCTTCTATATGAACATTGTATCGCTTATATATTTTTTCATTTTTTAAAGTCATTTTTTATTAGAAAACCGAAATAGAAATAGAGTTATAAGGAAATTTTAGAATAGAGTAGAATGGAGCGAGCAAACGTCTCAAACAGCATGCCTAACGTAGAGTACAAAATTAGGATTTTTAATAAATCGTGTGAAATAAAAAAATCCGTATTATAGTTTGCTTTAATTTTAGCTAACCTTAATATGTACTGCCTTTGGACAATATTATGAAGTTGAACAACCAGATGGTTCATATAAAATCGGTCAAGAAAGTAATTCCGTTGGTACTGTGGGAGATACCGTAGCTTCGTATTTGAGGAAGGACTCAGGATGGACGGAAGAAACTAGATCGAGGAATGAGATTGGCGCTGGCATTAGTCTACAGGTGATAACATTAAAAATGACCTTAATAGTAGCAATAACAAATATCAAAAACGTAAAGTTACGCTTAGGAAAACAAACTTTTTACCTAATACCGCTGATTTTGCTTCGTTCGAGAATAATTGCATACAAGGACTACTGGCAACTGACCTAATATTGTGGAGCAGTGACGCAGTGTAAATATTTTTATATTTTTCCAGGTGCCTCAGGTTCCCTATATAGAAATTCTTAAACTTGTCGAGGCATTTCTCAGATTGAAAGGTGACCTAGGAGGAAAATTAAATGCCTTAATTCAGGATAACAGACACATTATCAGTGCCGTGTTCGACACATTGGTTCGCAACATTTCGTCTATCCACAAACTCACGTTGACCAGTATTGTCGTGTTGAGAAAGATTATAGAATTCGCAGGAAGCTTGTTGAGTAACGTCAATTTTGATGTAAATGCTGGCCCTGGAGGGATTAATTTTAGTTCCTTTTTCGGAAGAAGATAGATGAGACTATCAGCAATACCTAGTATATAACTAAAACTCAGTGACGGGTTTTTGTCATTCGCTTTTACGAACGAGGTAGTTTTAGATATTAATTTATTAAACTGATCTTTTCAAGAATCGTTTTTTTTTTATCCCGAATACCTAACCTAAGCTTGCTTTGCGTAATCTCCAGATTTGCTAGGTAACATTGTCAACATAAACAGTTAGATGATTCAAACATCCAATTCTTTGGAAAGTTAGCTCAGTAATACACAGACAAACGTAACTATGCAAGTAAATACCTTCTGGGATAAGAAATTCGCAAACGCTCTAAAACTTTTAAACGGTTAAATAGCGATTTAAAATTTGCTTGGATTACTTAACATTAACGTTGCCTGTATACGCATCTAGGCGGATATGACCGCTACAAGTACTTTTACTGAAAAACTCGGCCTTAATTATCTAGGGAAAAAAATTCAAATATTTTTTCTAAAGATGTTATGTTTATGAAAATCCGCTTACTGTTCGTGTTTTTACTTCTTGTGAGCTTATTTTTAAAGGGTTTTTTTAATGATGCAAAGAAAAAATTATATAGTAAAAATTATAAGTTCATTATATTAAATTATATTTGTAATTAGAGCAATGTCACTAGCCTTCCTATCGTGGAGGGTACCATTTAAAATTCAAACCTTGCCTTTCCTTTTAAACCGGAAGAGCATTCATTGATGTAGTAACAATTTTAAAATAATTTTATTTTACTAAATAAAAACTGAAAAAAAAACGCATTTGAACATCCAGTAATAAATATGACATCCTAGAGGCTTTACTTAGTGACAAGACTGAAAAATATGACATGGTCTCATTAACCGAATACTTTATGTCAGAAGAAATTTTAAGTTTCAAACCTTATGATTTAGCACCGACCTCATTTTTATGCAGGGATAGAGGGCGTTCAATTATTCTGACAAAAAAATATGCTGGATTAAATTGCGATATCAACTCACTCACACACAGTCTACAGATTACCAAATGGGGATTTCCAATTCTTTTTGCATCAGTTCGAATATACAAATCCAAATATGATATCATGATAAACGGGGATTTTAATGTCCACTTTGGCACTAATGAACCAACCTTTTTAGCATTAAACGACTTGATTAGTTCTTTTAATTTTAGGTATATTATTAAGAAGAAAACTAGAAAAAATATTGTCTCGATAATATAATATATAAGAGGATTCAAAAATAATGCTGACGTTTTTGAGCCATGATTATCCATCCATGGATGAAAATACATCATGTTCGGGATGGTACAAAAACAAAGTTATGTAAGTTTAGTCAGGAAGGCACGTTAAAATTTTTCCCACAAATAGGTCTTTTGCCTGTGATGTCAAATTGTCTCTAAATCAAAAATTTGAATCTCTAATCGACCGACACCGTTTGCGATTTGCCTTCCCATAAAAGAAGTAATAATTAATACAAACGTAATTAAGAAACAAAAATGGTTCACCCCAAAACTTCAATTAATAATAAATAATCGTGTCCTGACGAAATAGCTAAACCATGATTACCCCAATGCACATCTTACAATAAATATTAAAAGCTACAACAACTTTTACACAAATAAGAAAATATAATTAAGAAATATTTTAATATACCCTCTTACTCATTTGATAATAAAGGAGGGAGTGTACCGAAATATTTCAAAAATATCAAAATTTTTTCTCATATATAAAGGTGGAAAAGTTACTGCAAACAACTTTAAATCTATTTCTATGGTACGCTTTATATAAAAAATCATTGAATCAGTGTTAAAAAACTAACCAAATTAACAAACATTTTGAGAATTTCGATCTTTACTTTGGTCAGCAATACGGATTTAGGGAGGGTAGATCAACCGACTCTACTATCACCAAACTGGTTAAAGCTATAGTCAAAAGACAAGAAGAAGGCAACTTTACGAGTGCAACATTCTGCGATCTTACTAAACGGTTTGATTGTGTGGACCACTCGACTCTATTAAATATATATATATATATATATATATATATATATATATATATATATATATATATATATATATATATATATATATATATATATATATATATATATATATATATATATATATATATATATATATATATATATATATATATATATATATATATATATATATATATATATATATATATATATATATATATATATATATATATATATATATATATATATATATATATATATATATATATATATATATATATATATATATATATATATATATATATATATATATATATATATATATATATATATATATATATATATTTATATATATATATATATATATATATATATATATATATATATATATATATATATATATATATATATATATATATATATATATATATATATATATATATATATATATATATATATATGTCAAAACCTTGATCCAAATTATGATCCAATTATTAATCCAATATATGATGATATTCGTATAGTATTTTGTAAACGTACGTACACACATGTGCGCCTTACTTTTGATACCTCAAAATTTCTTTGATATTGTTACTGGCAATTCTACAAAACCAAAGCTTGATCTAATTTAAACCGCAATAATTGTTACACCATGTTTTAAAGTTTTCTATCTCATTTATCAGTGAAATTCATTTCTTTTTTCATCCAGAGAAATGCACTCGATATTAGACCATATTTATTACCGAAAAGCCAGTCAAAGCAGATTGAAACAGATTGAGTGGAAGCATGGAAGTTAACCATCAATTTAACCAAAGAAGTGATATCAGGAATAAAGACGTAACTGTTAAAAATCGTAATTATGTATGTTCTCATCAATTTTTGCCCATCAGATGAAAATATTTCAAACTCGGCTTTGAGCAAAAGGTGAAAATTATTTTTTTGTGGAATAATTCTGGCAGCACTGCCATAATTTAGCAATGTTTCTTCATTTTTTAACTGAATTATAGGGCTGCCGTACCAGTGTCCCTGTAGTGAAAATTTCGTTCGTGAAATTAATAATGTAAATATAAATAAGTATTGTAATAATGTAAAATCATAAACTTTAAGGTATGTGCTATAATTTCCGACTCAACAATCTTGGTAGTAAATTTTTTATTTGCTTACAGGGAAAGGGAAAGATTACATCAAAGAGATTGAATTAAATCAAAGGTAATTTATTTTATTTTCTATAGTACATCTGCTGTGAAGCAGATATCTTAAACATAATTTATATTTAGATATAACAGGCATTGAAACAATTTAATTGCTAAGCTTGTTAGTAGATCTTGCGAATCCACCAAATTTGAAATATGGTTTAAAACACACCTTATCTCGTTCGATGACTGATATAACAAATAAGTTGTATAACTTAGCCGATGTTTGGCATCAGTTTTGAGGCAGCATCTGCAATTTAACCACCAATAAAAAATTACTAGCAGTGTCCTCCCTTTTGAGTACTGGTCGAACCTGTAATTAATGGAAAAATTGAAAAAAATTTAATCCGCTTTACTTGAGTTGTTATAATTGTCTTAAATGTATCTTAACCAATTTAATGTAGACTAGATATTTTATTGACTCTATTGCTGCCGTCTTATGTTATTTCTCCGAACAACGTTTTTTCTGGATTGTATTTCCAAAAGAGCAAAATCCATCCCTTAATTGTTGTTTATTCTCAGCTTGGCTGATGTCATCCTCATTTTACTTATTGGAAACAAGGTACAAAAATCAAATCTACATATATGAGAATGTGTCTTTTAAATTATTGATTTCTTTAAATTATTTACATTTGATAAAATTTATATACTTATATACTCAAAATTTTCGGAAAGGATGTTTTACTCATGTCTATTCAATGGAAGTAGATTTGATTAGTTAGTTTATAAGGTGCGGTACATGTTTATTCGAAGTCAAAGGACCGTAACGACCAATGAACAAAAATTATTTTGCAAGTCGTAATTGGGAAAAAGTATGTTATCTAGAAATGTTCCCATTTCTATTAACTTTCCTATCACGTCCAAGAGCAGTGTGCGAGCAATTCGTCAACTCACCTTCTTTAGGATTGAATGAATTCATTAAACTTCTGGGTTGCCTCTTAGAATATTACTTTTAGTGGGCCAAAAAGTGATTTCGCTTCTATCATAAATGAAAACTTTTAATTTATATTTTCAGTTTGAATTACGCGAGATACAATCAAATATTTGTTTTGGTTTTATTATGACTGTAGTTTGGAACTTGCGAATTGCAATAAATAAAATGATTTTATTATACCACAACAATAATGTGATTCCCCTTTGGTGACATTTTATATAAATACACGCGATAAGTTATGTTTATATCAGTGTTAAATTATCTGCGTTAACAACATATCAACGTTCAACTTAAGAGACACCATGAAGTTTTGGGTATGTAGTGAGATTGCTATGTATTATTATAAACTTTTGTTTCTTTAAACCAGGATGACAAAATTTATTGTGGAAATTTCTTGTTTTTACTTAATAATTACAAAACATTTTTCAAAGCGTTGAACCATCGTTGATGTTTGAAGCTGTAATACCAACAGACGTTTTGATTTTTATACATATAAATTAATTTTTAAAGATTAAAAAAAGATTAAATTTGTTATGACCTGGTAAACAAAAACGAGTGATGTGTTTTCATAACTAAATTTATCCGTGCCATAATAAGCAGTTTCAAGTTAAATGGTTAGAATGTACTTAAAATGAATTGTCCTCAATACTTTTGGATTATTCATATAGGATTATATTTTATGAACAATAAATTTATTACAAATTGTTGCTTTTAAAATACTTGTTAAGTGAGCCTTTAAACTTTGTATTGCATCCGGAAATAATTTTGAATGCTGCGTAGGAAATCTTTCATTCTAAATCCTTTATTTTTTTTAGTAACAATACCATTCACAAAAAAGACGTCCGAAGAATTCCATTATTCATTCCATTATTCATTATTGATTGGCGCTGAAACGCTACCGTCAATTGTTTTCTGTTTTCGCTACCTCAAGCGTTAAGTGAACTGAATTTTCAAATATTAAAAAAATTGGTTTTGGTTACTTGGGTAGTTGAAATTTGAAAATGCTTCTGTAGACAACGTTGAGTAATGATTACCTTTTTCGGCAGCTGCTATTATTTTTTGTGGCGGTCGCGCTCCAAGGACTCTTAGCTATCCCATCGAGGGATGGCCCTGGAGGTAATAATCGTGGTGGTAGCAGCAACCGAGCTGGTGGCAGCCCAAGCGGAAGAGGTGACAGTAACAGGGGAGGAGACAGGAGTGGAAATACCAGAGTCGCATAATCTAGAACGTATTCAACATTGCAACAAAGCCCTTAAATATACATGCTATATACTAGCATACCAATTTAAATATAATATTATATCCCAAAGTCCACCAAATTTGATTAATAAAATTGTTTCAGTTGAGTGTCCTTTAAGTATATAATAAACAAATTTCATTGCTAAGTTACCCACCTTATCTACCTGCACCTGCACTTATTCCGGTTATTAAGTATCTTTTTCCATTAAATCGTCTTCTCTTCGACTGCTTGAAATGCAATGGTGGTAAGGACAACTGAGCGAAATGGGAATGTACCTGATTGTCCAGCTTCATGAAGCAAGTAACCGTGTCTTCAGTGACAATTAATTGAAGGAATATTGCCAAAATGCTCTATAAATGAAAAAATTATAAGATGGTATCTGTTTAGCGCAATCAGCTTGCCACAAAAAAATAATAAAAAAGAATTTTTGAAAATGATTACTTAAAATCACCCTCCAAAGGAGCCCACACCATGCCAATGAAAAAAATGAAAGATTTGCTTGAACATTCCTTAAGATTTTGAAAAACAACCATTGTGAGCCCAAAGTGACATTATGACTAAATTAATAGGATGAACCAACGAAACTATTATTGGTCACAAATAACTTGCATAAAGTATATACAATGTTATGAAGTTCTGATGAACTTTTTGAAAATAGTTTAGCATACATTGTTTCTGAATCTGAATTATTACATGCATTGTTTTAATTTAACGTTGTATGTCCGAATGCCCTTAATTCAAAAATTTCAATCCATAAGCCCTTTCCAATTGCTAAAGACTTGCTTAGTCTTAACTAAGAGAAAACTTGCCTCTTTGCACTTGTTTCGAAAAGCTTAACCTAATTGCTATGAATTTATGTAATAGTAACATTAGAATTAGGTAAGTAAATTTAAAAAAAAACTGAAACATCGTGTTAAGTTGGCAATACAATGTGAAACTTACGTACATAAATAAGTATCCGCATTTTTCGAACGCCTACAACTACATAAGCTTCCACAGTAAAAATGATTATTCGAGATTTTTACGTATTATATACGGCTGGGGAATAAATAAGCGTTAATAACTTGATAACATATTGAAACATTTCAAGGACTTCGATCACATTTAAAAAACAAAATCCATTGCTGGCCGGTGAAAAAATTATTAGGGGGAGGGTGCGAAGTCAATACAAACATTCAAAAATTGGTTATTTATTTTCCCGAAGTAATCATTTCAAAATGTCATCTATTTTCCAAATCCTCCTTGTCCGCCGTATCCTCCGGGTGTTCCAAAATTTCCGGGAACCCCACGGAAACCATTTCCTGGTGTTCCAAAACCACTCTGCCCACCAAAATTGCCTCCTGGTCCTCCAAAACTACTTTGTCCTCCGGCACCTCCTCCCTGTCCAAATAACCCGCCCGACTGACCTCCTTGCCCCCCATACCCACCTTGGACTCCAAATCCAGCTCCGTAACCCTGTGGAATTGGCTCAGATTCTATGACTGCTAGATGAGCTGCGCTAACAACGATGAATATCTGTAAGAGTAGTTTATGAAGTACTAAATTGTAAAGGAATATTTTATATGATCCATTGCTTGTAGAAGAGGGTAGAAATGATGGTAGTAGTAGTGGTTAAATTTTTTAAATATGGACATGCACCTGCGTATAGAATAGCAAACTAAAAGCAGAAAATATTATTATATTTATAAATTTATTTTCATAGTAACAATTTTTAATTAAAGTTACATATTACACTTACACTTAATTACTAACACAAATGGAAATTAAATCATTTTTATGAATAGAATCAAATACTACAGTATTACTTACTTGACATAATTTAAACATTACCATCGTAACTATTTATCAATCACTTATATCGTGCGAGACGAATTACTTTATTTCTTAGCTAAAAGAAATGGATATTAATTCAAATGCGATTATTTATATATTATGAGAAGGAGCTTCCATTTTATACAAGGGGCGACAACTGAAATTATTGAGCAACAGTAACAAAATGAACAAAATTCTGCTGCTGGAAGATTTGGGACGTTCTTCACCCTATTGATTTTCCAAAACACTCTAATAAGGTGTAGTAAGATATAATAACCTCCTTACAGCAGTCGAAACGAGAACTCGAATGACAATATGTACTTCCGCATAAAAAAAATTACAAAAAGTTAATTATGTTCTCAACGTTTGTACATCTTAACATCAGTATACTGTATTTATAATTACTGTATACAATTACATATAATTAATTGTAAATAATCAGTGACTTCTTCAATGTTCGTAATTTTGTTTTATTATACAACAAAAACAAACAGCATTATTAGCAAAACCAAAAATATTGAATATTCTGGAAGACGCAGCGAACCTCAGTTTCACCTGTTTTGGTTTACCAAAAACTGCATTATGAAGCCCCCGTATAACGAGCGGTATAGAATTCAAGGAAATGTGGCGAGGTCAGGTTTATAAAGCTCAGTTTTCAACTTGAATTAAATTACTGCAGTTAACGAAATAAAATATCCAAGGATATAGTTCTGTATAAACTTAGATACGAAAAATTTCTTATTTTTTTCAAGTATTATTATCCGAACTAATTGTCTACTGGTGAAAATATCAAAAAGAACTGACGCTATAGTGACGATGAGAAATCATTTTTCATGTGCACTTTTTTCTGACATCTTGTGGGGTCGAGTGTCATAATAAAAATTCTGGAAAGTAATAAGGAAATGTTTTCAAATATAGTATAACAGAAATATATAACATATTAATAGATATTTTAGAAATATCTCATAAAATGCAGCAAATGATTTGGTTTGATTTATTTTAATAAAGATTCTAAGTAACTTTTGTTAACCTATTTGTTTCTAAAAACTTTTGTATTTTTTTGGGTATTAGTTGAAATGAAAAGTAACTATAAATACGTTTTAATATTTCTGGCCGTCAGTGAAAATGGAATAATATAAAAAAATCCTTAATTTAGTTATATGTCCCAAACTGCAGACGAAGAGCAAAGCTAAGCGAAGATAACGCATTGCTGACACCGCATTAAAAGCCCTATTTATTCGATTGTAATATTGTAAAATACGCTCTTAATTATTCCAACCTTTGTAACGGCCAGTTCGAATAAAACTTTATTTCGCTTTCTGTGTAGTAAATGTTTTTAAAAACGCTCTCCCGAATTTTGAATATTTAAGTATTTAAAAGTTTTTATGATAGTCGTTCGATTTTTGTTGTTGTTTTGAAGATGAAAAACAATTTAATGCTGCTTCTTCCGGCTCCTAAAGGCCTTCCAAAATACGAATCCAAAGTGTTTTTATAAACCCGAATTCAAATATGAGATTATTTAAATTTAACAACGTAGAAGTCCTGGTTAAACTCGCTTGATTTTAAAAACGGTTTCTTTTTTTAAGAAATACTATGACTGGTATAATAAAGTGGATTGTGTACCTTGTATTTGAAAAGAAATTATTAGTTTTGACCTTTATTAAAATTTTAATATAATTGTATATTTTTTGGATTGGAGAAAAAACATTTCTTTCTGACTTATGGTTAAAACTTAAAATAGTTTGTTGGATTTCATTCTGTACTCAGATATTCGAAATTCCAAAATTGCAGTTGGTTTGGAGCAGATCTGGCTAAGCTTAAAAAATACTTTTTCGTTCTCCACACTTTTGATGGGGCACTTGTCGTGAAGCATCCTATGTTTTGCGTTACACTAAATTCTATAAAGGGATTTGTACCACAAAAATTTCATTTTTTTTGGTTCATGCTACCTACATATTGCATCTTTAAAAAATTGTGATAAAGGACAAGGATGTAATAAATAAAAATAATATAACTTCCCTTGAACTTGTCTGTGAACTTTCGTACACAAACCAGTTTCGTTTTTTTTTATGGGAATTTACGTATAATCAATCTATTATTAACCCGGTGGCAGGCATACTGATTGTACCTTTTCGGTGTCATTAAGAGTATAATCAACTTATAAGGCAGGCAAAGTTCGTTTTATTAATTGACGCTTTGGAAAAGCTTTAATTTTATTTTCATTTTATTTTCAACTAATAATCAACGGCCAATCACATCACAATTTTTTCTAAACATATTTTTGATTTATCAGGATACTAATGTGTAGTCTCAACATCAGACTTCAATTTCAAATATCTATAATAAATTGGCACTGACGCGACTATTCAATCAATTATTCAATATATTTATCTCCCATTTTGATTTGGTAGTTTCAAACTTAGAGTTATTAAATAATATTGTCAGGGTTTAATATCTCCCAACAATTCGGAATTTTCTATAACTAAATTGTCAACACCATGGACTTTTTTAAAAATGTAATCCAACTTGTTTACGTTAGATGTTTACCTATCATTAACATAAAATAATAAATATGATTTTGGGAAATACCGCTGAGGTATCCACAATAGGTCTGAAAAACTTTTAACGAATTGTTCAAATTTGCATATAAAATTAGAACAAATGACGACGTATTTTGTTGAAGATATATGTTAAATATATTTGCTGCTATCCTTATTGAAAAATTTAGTATACATTGATTCCGGGGATATATCAGAGACCCCGATTCGAAAGTTGTTTAACGATGTGAAAATAGTGGAATTTAAGACAACAGGATGATGACGAGTACAAATCGAGTGAGTACTGTTATACTTGGACCTGAAATATTGTGTTTTTACAACCAGTGATTAACTTTTTCTACTGTTTATTACTCCAAAACCACAGCTCTTTATAGAACACCTTGCCGAGCAGATCCTTACCCGCAACCATCCAGGACCATCCTAGGAAATTATCTAAATAAACTAACAAGCGGGATATAAGTATGTTTTCAATCTTTTTCGCCGAGCAATTCTTGAAACATGTAGATAAAAAAATTAGTACAAAATAACAATTTATTACGTTCTATTTCATTACATTTCTACAAAGTGTCATTATTAATATACAAAATATTAAATATGATAATACTAAAGTATGAGCCACTTAAAAAATCGTCATTATCGCTACTGTCGCCTAGTTCAATGATCAACTCCGCCACTAATCGTTCCCGATAAATATTTTTTCTTTTATTACTCGTTTTTCACAATTATATCAGCTTTATACTGATATTTTAGCTACCTCTTGCCAAATTACGTTTATGGTACTATTACTAAATTTTGGTGCAGTGTTATTTCTAATAAGCGCCCAGATCAAATCACCTCAATCGGGATTCAAACTTAACTGTAAGATAAATAGAGTACAGGTACTTATCCTTACCCTTTGAACTATCGAGAATCGTTACGGTCCATCTCAGGCAAGACCTACTTAATCCCGAATAAACATCTGTTCTAATGGTTTTTACCACGGTCCTGCGAAGGTCTGCGGTTAAGGTACTGTAAAATACTTAAAACGTCAAAGCAATTAATGCACTATATTTTTGGTTGTACAATAAAATATTTCTTATCTACCATTTTCCCGAGTGGTGATTTGAACGTTATGGATTACAAAATCGTCGCTTAAAATTACACTCCGATATCAAATTTATTAACGGCTATTATATAGTTATTTGGAACTACTCCAAAATAGGTTGTCCAAGCAATAAAATTAAAATAATACTTAATTGTTCAAAGAAACTTCCATAGGCTACTGTAATACTTTTTTCGCTAATCATCCTTCTTCAGAGCTTGACTGAAACGTCAGTAAGTTCGACTCAGCAATCCAGAAGTTAAGTCAAAAGTAAAATATAACTTCTTAAAGCTTGTAAGAACTTGGACATAATCTGTAACGACAAATTTTGATTTCGATTAACTTTGCAATATTTAAAAAATAAAGATACAAAATATTTTATGGAATTCTCATTTTCAATCAAAAAATATAAGCTGGAAAAAGTTAGTGGTATAATTGTGGTTTTTAACTAAGTTTCTGATCGAATTTACCTTTTGGTTCCAATGTTCACATCAACATAATATTCTGCTCCACCGCAAACTACAACTTTTTAATAATTAAGTCGGAGATTTATGGAACTGAACAATTCGAGTTATGTACTCTGGTGAGGGAGACTAACTTCAATCTTTGTAGTGTATTCTAATTGTGGCAGTCGTAGTTACGTTGGCGGGTATAGGAATGTCGACTCCAAAACCACATTTTGGTTATGAATATGGATATCCGCCACCGCCACCCCCTCCCTACTTTCTGAGGAGACCTGGATGGAGAGGATATGGATGTTGTCCGCGTAGATGGGGAGGACCGTTTAGAGGTTTCTGTTCTGGAGGATTCGGATTGATCGGAATTGGTGTCATTGGGGCAGGAACATTCTATGGAAAATGATCTATGTAAATAAAATTAAAACTATGTAGATTGTGTTTTTGTTCACATTACCCAAATATACAAATCGCCTCGCAAATGCAAATATAAATGTGACAAGAAATGCAGAATATGATAGAATTTTAGGAGTCTGCAACTGACATGATGATCTGAGATATTAATAAATCGTAGTGATATTTAAAGAAATTGACAAAAGCATTCCTAGAAAGGGAAATTTTCAATAAAAATCACTACAAATTTTAATGAAACTTGTTTAGTACAGTATATTCTTCTTAAGATTAAGATGTAACCCATGTTGCAAAACATAAAAACTTAGATTTACTAATCCATTATAGTGTCAACAAATCCAATTCATTTTATTGGCTCTGAATCCTACAAAACTCTGTATTCTGTCTATTGTGAAGATTGATAAAAGTTTCTGGAAATATTTAAAAATTGTTCGCCTTTACTTTCAAATATCAACTAATGTAAATCAAAACAAGCAAATGCATAATTTATACCTAAATAAGAGTAGAAAATCTGACCACGTCACTGAATTTTATGTAAACGAAATTTTGCAGCGACCATTGCAACCAGACGTTATTACAAACGGGACTGATTTTTTACTCTAACGAAGTATCTATGGGACCAGCACTAGAATTTAAATGAAAATAAGGCGATTAAAGGAAACATTCCATTAGTTTCAAAAATAAATTCGATATCTTGCAGAAGTGGCAATAAACTTTTAATCAGGGATCGATTATACGCGAAATAAAATTCCAATTCAAATAAGGCGGTCTTAAAAAAAATGAAGAGCGGTCATTAGATTACCGGTTATTATTTTTTGTCTATAATTATTGAAGAGCAACGCTGATGACGAGAATTCTTATAACAATTTTGACAGTTTTTTATGGAATCTCCGCAGTAGTATTTTGATATCCTCCTTTGCCGCAGGTTATTTTGACTACTCGGATCCTGTACCTATATAATGGCTGTATTAAGTATCGTTCGGTAGTTTCGAATGAGCTTTTGGTTAAAATTACTGATCAAATTTGTTTCTCAAAATTTCAAGATGTCGAAATATTTTCAAGTAAGTTTGAGTTTTTTATTATTATCGAGTCTTTTTATTTTCAATTATTTTCTTAATAATTTCTAATTTTCAATTAGTCTTGTAATAGATTTTTTACAAAATAAAAATGGTCTTGATATATATAATTTAATAATTTTCTGAAGAAAATTTATAATTAAATGTAAAAGTTAAAAACAAATTTCAATTTTGGAATGAGTTGTTAATAACAGGAGCAAAGAGTCTTATGTAAGTTTTGATATAAATACTTTTGGTTAGTTTTGTTTTAATGCTTTAGTCCATTGAGTCCTTATATAGTAGCTCTGTGTGTACAAAGATGTTCTGTTGTTTCTTTTAGTGCATTTCTAATAAATTTTAATTAATTTAAATATATTTTTAATGTTTCAGATTTTGTTAGTTATAGTATTTGTTTCCATCATGACACTTTGCGACATGGTCCAAGCAGAACCTCAATGGGGTGGTAGAGGATTCGGTGGAGGGTTCGGCCGAGGTGGATTTGGAGGTCGCGGATTTGGTGGAGGATTTGGCGGTGGTTTTGGTGGTGGATTTGGTCGCGGAGGTGGTTTTGGCGGTGGATTTGGCAGAGGAGGTGGTTTCGGACGACCTGGATTTGGATGGGGCAAATAATATTGAAATCAAACATATCAAATAATCACGTACTGTAAAATCGTATTTTTAGAAATTCCTTGGCTGTAACATTAGTTAATAAAAAGTTTCAAAAACATATTTGTTGCATTCTTGTGCATTCCTGTCGGTGTCGAATATTAAACTTTAAATTGTAAATAATTTCGGCAACAAAAACAATTGATCTATGTAATTGTTACGTTGGCCGCCCGGCGATTTCCAGCGATATGCATTATAAGCGATATATCAATCAATAATACGTAACAAAACAAAATTCGTTTTTAATGTTTAAATTTGTTTATTTTATCCACTAATCTGATCTTAGGGAATAAATAAAACGAACCTTTTTTATAGAATTAGTAAAAATTTTATTTTACATGTTCAGTGTTTAAGGTACTTCACACCATTATTTTGAATGACAGAAACTAAATATTATTCAACACTAAAATACTCAATTATACAGGGATCAAGCATATCATAAGTATCTCTTTAAAACTTAAGCTTCGTTACTCACGGTCGCTTGCCACTTTAGTCACGGATGGCGACTGAAATGGCGGTTAGATAAGCTACTTAAAAGTGAATAACTGTGACAAATATAATAACAACTTCAATATATTTTTCCCGCCTGTACTAATCACTGGATATTACAAAAATCTTTGCACAATTTTTTAAGGACAGGAATTTCCTTTCGCATTTTTTAAAAGATCACTATAGATCAACGATTCTTTTGATTTATTTAATAATACGAAAATACGAATGGACATAAAATTTCCCAATAGTTAGAACTTTAATAGTGATCATTCTGTATACTACAAATCTAACAATAAAACACAGTTTCCCAATCCACATTTATTAAAAAAATACACTTTGATTTCTATTTAATCACGTGATCCCTCGAGTAGGATATATATAGTGTGCGTTGTGTCGTGTGTGTCGTTTGAATTTTATGCCTCCACTTCCGTCGTTTGTTGTTCTCCGTTTTCCTTTTTGCCCCTAAGCAGATGCTGAATTTCTTCCAACGTTTTCCCTTTGGTTTCGGGCACAAAAAATATCGTAAAAAGTACCACGAAAAAGCTACATCCAGAAAACACATAGAATGGAATGTGATTACCGTAAGCCGCATGAAGGGAGGTATAAATCTCCAAGGACAAGATGGAAAAGATTACGTACATCGAATCCGCTATGGTCATGCCCACAGCCTTTACGTTTGTTGGAAATATTTCAGAAGTGACAACGATAGGAACTATTCCCAAACCGAACTTGAATACGGCAGCATAAAACATCACAGCGACGACAGGGACCCAACTAACGTTTGCAACGTTTCGACCACTTGTCAATAAGTTGAAATAAACTGCGATGACCAGCAACGAGAATCCAGCTAAGGTTGCGGAAATTGTGAGAAGAACTTTCCTACCGTATTTGTCCATTACTAGAGATGCACTTCCAGCTGCGAGGAACATTAGACATGAGAAAATAATAGCCGCATATGAAGTGTCTATGTACGTGGATCCTGCTTCATTTAGAATTAAGTGCAAGTTCATCAGCAGGACACTGATGCCGCTCAAATGCTGGAACCCATTTAACACCGTCATGATAATTAGGCCTTTTCTGTTGCTCGGTACTAGAAGAAGATCCTGGGGCCTCCCCTTCTCCGACTTTTGCCGTCGTACTCCCTGGGATATTTCCTCGAGTTCTTTTTCAATTTCCTCGGGCCTCACATTATTCCGTAGCCTCTTTAGCGACGATTGAGCCTTTTCGGATTGATTTTTAAATATCAAATAATACGGCGATTCGGGCATAAAAATAAAAGTTACGAGTTCGATGGAAACCAAGCTACCTCCTAGTATGCTTGGTGCGTAATAAGGCACAAACGGTGCTACGGTGTATATTAATATAATACCGAACAACATCATCAGGTAAATAATACTAGACAAAAACCCTCGTATTTTCGGATGAGATATTTCCGCTATGTACATGGGGGCAGCTACGAAAGCCATATCACCCGCCATACCAGCGAAGAACCTGGCAACATACAAGTATGTCATATTTTTCGCGATCCCAATCACAATCCATACGACCAGCGAGACGAATGACGCAAGCAACATTGAGTTCTTCCTTCCGATTTTGTCAACGAAGTAAATCGTCAACGGCAATCCGCAAAATGCTCCCGCCATTAATACGGTTTCTAACCATTCACATTCATGGAGAGTCGTTTCGAAAGGTCGTTTAGCCTCGTCCAATAATATCGGGATGATTGGCGAGGTCCATCCATAGTGCATCCCATCCGATATGGCAATCAATGTTCCTGCAATAATTTGTTATGAAAATTTGCGACGAAAACTTGAACGGGTCAAGAACCTACAGGGCTGCAGTTTAATAGGATATTATACAACAAGTTTTGTAAACCGCATTTTGGTTACGTTCAATAAACTAGGGACTGACAAAATTCATCAACGTGTGTCATCCTATTGTTTTTCTATCATCATTATTTTTTGGGCATTTTAGAGGAAAGAGTGGAAAAATTATTATTATACTTATATACTTATTATAATTATATCTACTGATATATGTTTTCAATTTATCCTTGTGCTAGAATAACAGAATTTACTAAATCAAATATTTAGAAGGTCTCAAGGCATGGCGTTTTTTTTTTGCAAATATTTGTCTACAGATTTGTATCGTGCTTTTTATATGTTATTTTATATAAAATTGTTTAAATAAATTTATACATTTTAACTAACACATATTAACTATGACTTATTAATTAATTCAAAAATAAAGTAAATTATTATTTCTCAAAAATCCACATTATCCTTAAATAAAATAAAAAAAAAATATAATTTTTAAATTTAAAAAAATACAACAGTCTGATAACTTTTTTTCCTGCTCCATTTACTTTTATACAGGGTGTTCATTAAGAACGTATAGCAGAACTTGAATAATTGATTGAGTAGTAGTGAAAGTGGAAAAAATTGTCACAATTATACAAGAAACAACAGTAAATATAAATACAAATAATTAATTTTCTCTTGAAAATGTAATATATATATATATATATATATATATATATATATATATATATATATATATATATATATATATATATATATATATATATATATATATATATATATATATTACAACATTCCATAAAGTGGGGCTACATTACCCCTTGTTCTTCTTCAGATATATACTTCTAAATATACTTACTTTACTTAGACACTTACCTGAAATTACAGCGACCAATTGCGAACCAGTGCCCTCAAAAGTAGATTTAAGATTATAATTTGACGCCATTCTCACTACTTTTGTTTAAATTTTATTACGACTTTTATTCAAATTGACTTCTAGGTAAAAAACTAATTTTGGTAGGAATATGTACTGCACCTTGTATCACTAGCTGGTAAGTACGGCTCGCTTTTGAGGACCCTGTCGGAATAAACTATACTCAGTGCATCTACTTTCAAATAATTGTTTATAATACTGTTCTTTTTGGCAAATTCAATTAAATCAATTTTAAGCTCTTAGTTGTCACAAAGTTGACAAGGGATCCAGTGTGTATTATTGCTAAGAATATTATTACTTCGTGGAATCAATACATTGAACAACATTCGATATTGAAGAAATAATATTGATTCCATCAAAAGTAATTTTAATGAAGTTACTGAGTGTGCGGCAAACCTAAACAATCACTTATTTAATAATACAAATGCGGCCACTAGTTAAGCTTGCTAAAATTAAATAAACGTTTATTCAGTGTGGCTAGTATTTTAAACGCTTGTTATCATTACATTACATCGTGTTGACGTATCTTTAAAAATATAACCCAATATCTACCGGTAACTCACTTTTTGTCAAAATTAATGCTGGTCTAGTGCAAATTGCACCATACAAAATAGTTTTTTTACTTAGAGTTACAAATTTATTTAATTAAATGCATAGGTATACCTTTTTACTCGAATTTGTATTACAAGAGAACAAAATTTATAGTCGTTGACCTATAGGAGCCTAATCGATTGTTTCACGATTTTGCGCACAACGGCTTCCGATTGCGTTGGAAAAACTGTTAGTCCGGTGGAAGAGAGAATAAAATAAAGTTAATAATCGCCAGACAAATAAGCCTGCTATCGCATAGGTGTTTCACAGATAATTAATGAAGATAATAATAGCTAATCACTTGGTTTGGATGGTCAAGGATTTCAATACTTTTATGTGTATAGATTTGTGCGTATATAAGGAGGATTTTAATTCTTCTCGTATGTTGTTGCGCAGTAAAGTTTAATTATAAAAAGTTTACCACTAAAAATTTTTGTATCAGTAACAAGAATTGTTTGTTGGATATTTTTTCTGTATGCCAGACAGATTATCAATAACTGAAAACAATTGAAAAAGTTGTAAAAATGTTAGTAAAAATTCCTGAAATCTCTGGTATGTTGACTTGCTTTGGTTCTTATTGAATACTAACATTAATTGTCTTAGTGTTACTGAAAACAACTATTTTATGATTTTTTTGCCGGACTATTTAATTTCTCGGCCCGAATCTAAAGTCCTTGAAGCCTAATAATCTGTATGAAACCATCAATTTCCCTCTGGTGTCGTACCGGTTGCAGATATATTTGGTTCTTTAATTTTTATGCTTTCTAAAGGTTGTTGCCGTAAAACCAGAAAAGGAAATATAGATAAATTCTTAGAAATATGTATGTTTCTAATCTAAATTTTGCAGTGCGACAAGAATGGGTAGCAAAACTTTAAGAAAATAACTCTTACACCGTTAAATAACATGTTATGATGAACATTGTGGTTTATTGCCCAAAAAAGCCGACTAAAACCAACGAAAACCGTAATGCATACCTAGACTAATATCTAGAAAATTGGTAAAGGACTAGTCTAGCCCACTATTCAAATTTAAATCTGACTAATGCGGAATTACCTACCAAAAAGGTTTGTAAATCATAAAATTGTGTTTGCGTTAAACAAACTTAATAGCAACTCTTTTAACAGAGCCTCGAGATATTTGTAAACCAAGTTAGCACAATATAATATTTTATATAAAAACAAAAACTGTTTAGATCACGTCCATATAGTTTTGAGATTTTCAGACTAATTAATATCCTCGTAACCGTCAGCAAGTTGTAGTGATACTCATTAATAATATTGAACATGATTGTAACTAGACAGGTATGCAAAATTATTCTTTTACAGTTTGATAATATATCTGCAGCATAGAGTTAAATGATGTCGAAATAGGGAATATTAATTAAATCCTTTAATTTTTATTTTTTATATATTTTATATTTCTTGTGATTTTCACACTGTTTGCGACAATACAGTCAAACGAAGCTACTCTGTTATTTCATGGTTTGGAGCGTAGTGATTCTACCTTCCTCACTCAACTTATTCAGAAAATTTTCGAACATATTTTAATAATATAAATGCTAAAATTTATTAAATTTGGAATTAGTGTTACTTTTCTTCAGGTGCTAATTTAAGCAAGGAAAGTTTAGATTAGTTTACACTTTTCATAATGATAGTTTTTGTTTGCTATAAATCTTAACTCGCTTCTACTTTAGAAATAAATGTGATACTTATTGTTAAATGGATTTTATATAAATTGTGTCTATATATTTTTAGGCGTTTGTTTTGACCTGTTCCGTTTTTTTGGCTACGTTTCTATACGCTGAAAGCGCTCCAAGTCCACAAGGTGGTGGAGGATTTGGGGCAGGTTTTGGTGGAGGATCAGGAGGTGGTGGATTCGGTGGTGGCGGTGGCCTAGGACATGGAGGAGGCGGTTTAGGAGGCAGAGATGGTTTTGGGGGCGGCGGTGGTGGAGGCGGATTTGGTGGAGGCGGTGGCAGCCTCGGAAGAGGAGGAGGATTCGGTCGAGGAGGAATTGGAAGTGGTCGTGGTGGAGGAGGTGGATTCGGAGGTGGTGGAGGTGGTTTCGGTGGAGGTGGTGGATTTGGAAGAGGAGGAGGTGGAAGTTTGGGAGGTGCAGGATTTGGAGGAGGCGGCGGGAGAGGATTCGGAAAATGAAAGCTGTAGTGTCTTGCGATTATGTTACAATTTGGTATAATACTCTAATGTGTGCAATAAATCGTAATAACTTTAATTCAACTTATTTGGTTTAAGACGATTTTAATAGTTATAGGTAATTATAAATGTGGTAAAGACAAAATTAGTAAATTACACAAACAATAACGCATCTACTTATTGATTAACATTACACACAGATTTTATAAAATTTAGTAAGAGAGTGTTATTCTTGCTATTAGAGCCAACACGAAAAAGTATTCAAGAAAATCTATGATAATATTAATATTAAAAGAAGTAAGAGAACTGAAAAAATCTAATTTGGCTATACAAAAAAATAAACAATAACAATGTGTACATTAACTCTGTCAAACTAAGTTATTGAATTAATTAAATTTAATTAATTTAAATTAAATAAATTAGAAAAAATAAAATTAAATAAACAGAACTTAAGTCTAGTTTAAGACGTATGTAGACATGGTTTATACGCTGTAAATATTGTTTTATTTTTAGATGAATCCAAGTAAACAACACCATCTTCGTTAATTATTTCTGTCAATGAGCAAATAAAAATCCCAAACTAGTAAAAGTATCAAAATATAGTAAATGCGATTGCAAGTTCTGCAAGATGTGCGTAGTACTTTCTTCGTTTGAAATGAAACGCGTATCAGTATTAATAGAAATCCCTTATTTGAATCTGCGTATGTTTATAACTAACCTAATGTTTTATTAAATCATTTAGGACTTCAGAAAACTACTTCCAACTGTTTCAACAAGTAAACGTTGCTAGTGTTATACATTATAAACGAAAATTAATTTTTACATACAGGCTGTTCTACCGTGGACGTCATAGATTGCATAACTATAACTATGAAAATATAGGATTTTATTAAAATGAACATGGATCTTCCGGCCATACCGGAGATGGGTATCAACTTGCTTATTTTAAATTAAACTTCCAATTCCCCGAAATTCTTGGACATGTTCCATGTCCCTATTGCAGTTTTTTCGCTTTAGATGGATTTAGGGCGCGGAGCTCGGTTTAAACAAATATTTGCCAAAACAACTGTTCGTGGAACCTTCCACACTGACTGAACTTCGTTGCAAGTATTTGGTTTCGAGATTGTACAAACAAGACATTATGGGCGGAATATTTATTCGTACCCGTTTTACAGATATTGAATAAATTTGCAAAGTTCGCTTTTTATGTAGTTCAACATCCTTTAAAATTTAAACCAATGCAGCAATTATCGCAAATGAATGATTCATTTGGAAGGAATATTTAACAGAAATAATTGACGTTCTTGTACAAGGTGGAGCAAATTGTACACTTTTAAAGGGAAACTTCTCTCTCCAAAGGAGATAGACGAAAACTAATGTCAGTGTTTCAAATTCTATTTTCACAAAAATTGTAATGGTAAAAAAATATGTAACGAAATCAACAGGAACTAACATTATATGAACTTTAAAAGAACACATACGTGCCACAGTACCAAAAAACTGCATGGTGCAAGTGGTTCCTGTAAAAATTCAACCGAGTACGCGTTCCATGTTGATTCAACTTTATTTGAAAGGTTAAACTAAAACTCAGTTCACAATTTGGCAACTATCCAGACGAAATCACTTTCTGTATTGCGATAGCACCTTCCGCGACCTACCACAAAGTTCACAACTTTTTTCTCAAAAAAAAAAAAAAATCGAATAAAATATCAAGTGTGCTATACTTTTGGAAAGGATTTTCAATTCTCGCCTATTATTCAACAATGTACAAGGTGTCCCATATAAAAAGTTCATTTGTTACTTGATAACTTATAAAATATTAATTTTTTTATTCTCACAGCTTTAGTAGTTTTTAGTTTTATTTTCTTTTGTTTTGTTTCGTGAATTTATTCATGCCAATATTTGTTCATAATTTTCTAATATTTCTCTTAAATTGCAAGTGCTGTGTGCGAGGAATAGAAACACAGCAACAGACAAGACGAAACTACATAAAATATATTTCGCAATTTGGGCGAAATGTCACATTTGTATTTAAAGTGATATTTGGATATTGGGATATGAGGAATTGCAGAATTGTGAGAGAAAAATAAAATAGTTTGCATTGTGCAGTGTTTGTGTTTGCGAAAGATTATCCTTATTTTTATTCTGACGAAGGAAATTTTCCGAAATATTGGAAAAATAAGAAATTAATTTCCTTTAAACCCAGTCCCAAGCCCAATATTCTCCTTCATAACCAAAGAGAGCATATATCCTCTGAGCTGACAAAATACTGCTTATTAAATGACTAGAAACTTAGAAACACGTTTTTTAATCGTTGCTAAAACATACCGCATATGCCATAAAGCAATAATTGGAAAATCAATTTGCCCCTAGAAGAAAAGTGTTTCTACCACATTTTTCAAAGGACGCTAAATGAAGGACTATAAAACATGTCGCTGCGGTCTTGGGGGTTTTTTGCCAGGTTGTTGTACCCGAGAAAAATACGCTAGTCATTATTACTTGCGGCGAAGGAGTACGTTTCAAGGTGAATCGGAATTCAGCTTAGTAATTGTGTGACTCTTTTAAACCCTGTAATTACCAACCTCGAGAAAATAACGACTTCATTTTTAATTTAATGTTGGATATCGAAACATTACGCTTAATGGTGCAATAAAATTTATCAAAATATGCAAATCTAACTTTGAATGAATGATTGTGTCAGTATTTTCTAAATAATAAAAATTTAGTAATTTTCTTTACTATTACATAGGATCCTTTATACATAACCTCTTCACCAACAAAAAGTTTAAATGGGGCCAGGCAAATCAAAATTATTCTCAAGAAAAGATATAACGATTAACAATTTTTGGAATGCAGGTTTTTGGTATTTAAAAGCATCTTATAGAATTCGAATTTCTCGCCAACGAAAACAGTTGTTGCTCTACAGCATTAGTTTTGGTTAGTTAGAAGCCTTATCTTGATTTTATGTGCGAGCGACTACGTTACTTTACACCCTTAATCACGTATACTGTACTTTTAGTGTTTTATTTTCCTCAGCTGAAAGTTATAGCCTCCAAAAAAATTGTTTAAAAGTTTTTCCATAACCTCAATATTTAAGTTTGTTATTCTAAAAAAAATTAACTATGGTCCAAAATGGTTGTGCTGTTAAAATTAATTTTAGTAATTTCCATTTATTTCTAAATTATTCAATGATAAAATTAAAAAAAAGTTCTAATATAAGCATCACATTAAAAGTTAGCAAAATGAATCAAAAAGAATTTTAAATATTGTACGAAAAATTTGAACTAAATTGTAATTGTGCTAAAACAACTGGCGTAGAAACCAACATTCTTTTTAAAAAAAGAGTTCGCATGAGTATGGGCATGGTTAAAGCTGTTGTTTATAGGTAAATACATCAATTTTTTTTCATTGAATATTTAAACCTTTAAAAATAGTTTATGTAATAAAAGTATAAAACGTCTTTCGTGTAGAATTTCGAGATTATTAGGTGATATGGATGCATTTTGGGAAGAAACGTAAAACATTCGTTTACAAAAAAATATTTAAAAAAAATAATATTTATTGCTATCCAAAATTAACCATGTAGTATAGTTTGATAATGTAAATAAGTTGAAATTTGTCTAAATTTTTTCAAATTTCTTCCTAAAAATGAAAACTTTATTTTTATTGCGTATCGTTCTTGTTTATTAACATGTTGTTTTTTTTTAATTTTTGAACACCAATTTCTATCAAACTTGTATAGCACTATATCCAAATTTAGCATTTTATTGTAAAAGATAATATAAAAATTTTTGTTTAGACATTTTTATAAGAAACCAAGACATATTTCAGAATATATTTTAGTATATTCACAAAAATATGGATGTATAGTAGCAGAAAATCTCTCCCACAATGTCCCAATTAAATATACCTGAGAACCGAAGATTTTTCGTGAAACACCAAATTTTGTGTATTCTACACCCACTTCCTTAAATTTCATGTAACTTTTGTCATTGGCATTAAGGTAAAGCGAAACGAGTCGACATATTTTCGGTCGTGACCTTAACAAATTCCGCGACAATATAACAAAATGAACATTTTTATTGTTTCTGGTTTTTGCGCGCAAAGGGGTATACAAGATGACCTCTAAATTTACTGCTTTCGTTGTTTTGTTTTTTTAGTTATGCTGATTATTGGAAGAATGAATCAAATTCGTTACACGGCACCGAAGAGCTCAAACCTTCCGAATGGGATTACCACCTATATATAAAGAGGAAGCTGTCGGGGCATCAAATAGTTCAAAGAACTGTCTTAAAGTGTTCAGGTTATTGGATTGCAACCATTTTGCTGAAAATGATAAAGGTAAACAACATTTTCAGATTAAATTTCAACGCCCAAGCATTTATTTTATATATTGCTAATAAAGTTATTTCGTGCCCTTAAGGTATATTTTTGTACAATATCCAAATATAATATTATTAACTACAGGTAACAGTTCTGCAGGTAGAATTGAAAATTTAAATCCATTAATGAATAGTTCAAGAAATATTATTTGTTTTTCAGTTTTCCTGACATTTTGGATATATTTTAATTTTTTGTATATTTCAATTTTTTACTTAACATTTCTCGACATTTTTTTGGTAGCTTCATGTTTTTCCTCCAGTGTTTTTATACCATTTAGGGTGGTTAATTTAAATAAAATAGCATCAGATCTTGCTTCCCAATGAATTTATTTGTAGCAACCTCTGTTCCTAGTTAACGCGTATTTCAGGAAATAGTTTTTTTGGCAATTTTCGCTGTTACGTTAAGCAGCGCAATTCCCGTTGAAGATGTCCCCTCAGCAAATGCCCCACCGGTTCCCGTAGAAAGCGACGCAAAACCCAGCGAAAGTGAAGGCGATTTGGCGGGAGCAGAAAGTGCATGGGGAGGGTAAGTTTTGGCATCAGCTATTTTATTTATTCTTCGTCCTTAAATAATTGCAATGTATTATAATAGAAACGAACATTTGAGTCTGTGTAAAAAGAAAATAATTATAGAGTCATTTTCTCAATAATATGATAATGTTAATAATAAATAAAGATTTATTAATTCAATAAAATAGCGTGATTGCAATCCAGTCAACAATTACAGCTGATAGAGGCAGGTGCCATTGAGACAACTCCAAGATTTGAAAAGATGTTGATTCTCTAAGTGTATTAATCCACTTTGTTCTGTGTGCAGATCTAAAATTTGATTTTTTGGTTTTAAATGGCACCTGAAAACTGCTTCATATACTAGCGAATATAAGTAATTCTCTTCAAACCCCTAATCCGCAAAAATCGTAGCGAGTGTTACTTTTTACAAGACTCAAGTGTTTTATATAGTTTTTGATCAGATTTTGTTTTTGGTATAATTTTCTACTTTTTTAAAAGTTTCCATTAAAATGAAATCGCGGTATATACCTAAAAAACTTTAAAAAAATAGACGGCTTACAAAAACAAAAACAAAAGGTAAAAGGAAAAAGGATGTAGAAATAGAAAGCATATGTACTTTCTGTTTACAGATATGGCCGTAGATTTGGTGGATATGGAGGATGGGGTGGTGGATATGGCGGATGGGGACGCGGATACGGTGGTGGATATGGAAGAGGATACGGCGGATGGGGTGGTGGATACGGCGGATGGGGATACAGAGGAGGCTGGGGCGGATATTGGGGCTAAAAATACAAATATATTTCAATAAGTTCAGCGTTTACATATCATTGTGCCAGTTTTTCATATAAAATTAAATTTGAAATTCATTGATATAAACTGTGTTTTAGTACCTATTTCTGGTAATTGCTTCCATTCATACAGTACGACAGCATGTTGCTGTATCATTACTACAAAAATAACAATATTGCTAAAATTGTTTCTCGAAAGCAATTTAGTTAGACAATATAATGTACAATTAAATCTTGTGTGACGTGTTATAGGAAATTTTAACAGAAAAACCACTTTCATGACCTCACAAAACCAAAGGTACATTGTGTTTGCGTCAAATTTAAGCAAAATAATAGTTATTATTTATTACATCTGTAAAGAATCGTTATCAATGCACATTCATCTAAAGCAAAGTGTTAAAAATCATTAGCAATAAGCAGTAAATTAAATGCAGTGGCGTATTCCAAATTCGTATTCCCAATTCAAAGTTTTGTAAAGTGTAATAATTAGAACATATCATCAAGTGAATAATATTAACAACACTAATTAAATATTAGGTGGCAGCTGGTGCCACCTAATATTTAATTAGAAAATTTATAATTCTTGGAATACAATAACTTATAAACTACCCAACCTGTCAAGCGGCGCGATGAAAGTGTCAAATTATTTCAGAAGAGGGTTGAACATTTGAAAATATAGCCACATCACAGAGATCAAAACTTCAATTAAATCACAACTATACCACAAAAACTTAATAGACATTAAAGATGTACGTTGCAAATAGTTTGCTGCTAATGACTTCTAGTTCTCTCTTATCAGCAGCAGCAGATGATATAATCAGTTGGCTTAGTTTATATCAAAGAGATTGAATGTAAAATAGGTGTTAACCGGCAAAACAGTATTTTAGTAAATTTTGATTGTAATTTTTGTATTGCACATTCGTTTTTTGCACTAAAATCTTAAGAAAGTTATTATTATATATGCGGTTTAAACGAAATAATTATTTTTGATTCAAACTATTTTAATTGATTTTTTATGGTTATGGCACATATTTTCCAGTCATCTTGGGCACTTCACTGTGTTGGGACTTTTGTTACTTTTTTACATGTATTCTTTTAAAAAAATCTGTTACAAAAAAATTAAAGGAAAGAAATATATTGTATTAAGTTTATTATTGTATAGGTGAAGTACCTCATGTTACTTGTTAGTGTACAACAAATTCAAAACGTCGATTAAGTTTTTGAGGTTAATAGTTTTAAATTTTAGTCTTCATTGACTAAAAATGTGCCCATTTAACTCTGTTATCTTGTGATCATTGGTTTAAAATAATTTCTTCCCTGTGTAAAATATCGGACGGCGCCGATAATGCGAATTCCGTAAAGGGGAAAATTAGGATATCCTGTTATGAGCTTTTGAGATTCTCTTATAAATAGGAAAATCCTATCTCATATTTAGTTCATTGAGAAGTTCACTCATCTCGTAGTAACCAACGCAATGATGTTCAACACAAAAATGGTGAGTTTTTAATTGGTGTGACAGTATTAAGTTATTTAAGAAAAAAACAACCAGCGAGCATTTTAAAATCAAACGAGTACAGCAACGCTAATCAGAGAAAAATTCAAAAAGTAGTTCTATTAATATTCAAAATATTTTATTCTATTTCAAGGAATCCTGGTAGTGGTGAGGAAATGCACACATCAGGTGATTTTTGGTTAGATATAGATACAGGTAAAGACAATTCATGATTTGTAGATTCCGCAAATTTCGTTCGTTCGTTGCTAACATGCGACTTAAGAAAACAGACAGATAGACCAGTTAAATGTTTTCTAGTCTCTCTCTAGTCATTCAAAAAAAAATGTTTCAGCTAAAAGCTATCTTTTGGACTCAAGATATCACGACATAAAAGGTAAACAGTTACAATTAAAATTTTACAACGCGGAAGTCAACTTTGTGAGTATTAAACTTTAATTTTATTAACATTTGGTAAAAACATATTCTTTCACATTATAACAAGTAGTGTGTCTAACTGACCAAGAATTTCTTAATTCAAGTTCTATTACTGTTGTTGTATTCCAAAGTTTTGTTTCTGTTTAACCTTATTAAATATAAATCCTGGTGTGCTATATTTTTAATCAAACAAAAAATAATAGAAAATAAAAAAAGATAATACATAATATATTAAAAAATAAAGTTAGAATCAGTCATATTTCTAATTGGGAATTGTTAATCGTAAAAGTATTGACAAATTGATACTTTACAATTTTGAGTTCAACTTAACACAATTTTTTTTTTATTTAAAAAAACCAATAGATCATATTTTAAGAAATAGCAATACGTTTACGAATTAAGAAATTATCTGATGGATGTGATCTGTTGGCTAATCAGGCTATAAATTATAAATCCAAAGAAAAACATTTGACTAAATTTCCATTTGTGCGGATATCTTCGGATGTATTATCGATTAAATTTGTTAACGCCACTTTATTTACTAGTTTGATTTATCGCTGGCATTGTATACTATACTTTTTCTAAGACCATTGGTTTTTGGGTACATTTTTGCAAAACAGCACGAATTCTTACATTTGTTACGTGACTTGTAACGTGCTGTTAGGACTAACAAAATCTTAGGTCAAAGTACCGGGAACGTCTGAAGTGGTTAAAAGCTGACCCCTTAAAGTCACAGTTTGCACACTCTTGATCAGGGCATAATTGGGTATTTTAGAGTATGGAATAGACAAAATATATTAGGAAATTTTAATGAATGTTGTACCCTTAATTACTTAAAAGTAAATGAGCTTCACGTAACAATTAATTTTAACTTGTATTAAGAGTATAAGAGTATTTAGTGTATATGACTATGAAATGTTTGTCCTATATTTTTAGTCAATGTTCCAGTGGTAAAAACATTAAACATTATTTTACTCTGTTGCAGATTTTTATCACATTTGTTCTGATGGTGACCCTATTTGGATTAGGCATATCTTCTCCTCACTTTGACGGCAACATTTTGGACAATGATCCCTCTGCGTATATCGCGGAAAATCAGCAATTTGAGAAAAGCATCAAGAAAAAATTAGGAGGCGGCAAGAAATGTGGCTAGAATAATTCACATATTCATTTTCGTAGGCGATTTTCTTGACTACTAAATTGTCCATAAACGTGTTTTATTGCAGCATAACAATTGTTTTATTTATTGACACTTTATTGCTTTGTTATTTTCTATCAATAATTAAATTCAAAACATGTTAAAGGATATCTAGATTTAACATTAACATTAACGATGTAGCCAAACTGTATAACAATTTTGCTTTAGTTTCTTATTTAGCTTTTCACTCCACTTTCCATATGGACCGCTGTTGTTTACAATATACTTATTTATTGTGAATCGATCTCTAATTAAAACAAACGAAAAAATATAATGAAAAGACGTTCGAAGCGCCTATGTAATTAAAAAATTCCGAGAGGTCAACAAACAACAAACAAAAACCTGGCCGTCATATAGGTAGCCGGGGAAATCCGAGTCGCTCACTGTGTTTGCCATTTTTCGCCATTCATGTTGATCAAACTTTAAGTTGTTAGCAAGTCTTTAATGTAAATAAAATAATTAACGGCGGTGACTTTCGCAACAGTTATCGAATATTTAAAAGTCCATATGAATTGGGGTGGTGTTGATTTTAGAAAACAAAAGTGTTTTGATCAAAATCAGAGAAAAGCAACACCAAGTTCATCAAATTCCTCTTTTCAACAGGATCTATGATAATCCTTCGTATATATTTCCTATTTTAATTTGGAGCAAACGAAATATGCATAGTTATTTATTACTTGGTTCTTGCCTTTTGTTTAACCGCTAGTTTTGATCAGCTCTGGCACTAGGGGAGAAAACATCTTAAACTGTTTCAAATATCTATCTATATAGGGGGAATGATGGGTAATAATTTACTGTTGACGAATAATTTTACCATATTCTTTTGATTATTACGTCAAGCTATGCGTAAAGCGAAACCAATTTTTTTAACAGGTGGTAACAAAACTGACTTTAAGTATTGACGCATGTTTAAAATAAATTGAATTGGCATGTATACAAAAATATTTATTTATTATCAATCTAACACAAGAGGCAATCAAGTTAAAAAATAAATTATTTTAACGACCCCATCCCCCTCCTCGTTTCCCGCCATGTCCCCAACCGCCGCCATGCCCGCCATTTCCCCATCCTCCTCCACCTCGATTACCTCCATGTCCCCATCCTCCACCGTGATGACCGCCTCCGTGGCCCCAGCCACTAAAACATTTCCGAAATCTGCATCACATACGTCATAAGAAAATTCCAAATCCAATTTTACCACATTTTTCTAATTTTCATCACTATTAATATCCATTTTATACCTCTTAGCTTCCGCCACCTCCAACTCTTCTCCTTCACTTGGTGATATTGGTATTCCTTTAACGATATCATTTTTTTGGTCCTTCGCAGCAGGTAAGGCCAAAGAAAATGCCAAGAAAAGAATGGCAATTATGACAACTTCCTTAAATTTAAACCAATTACATTTATTTTGCTAAACATCCAACATTATGTGGACTAGGAAAGTAAAATGAAGTATTTTTAAAATTTGCCTTACTTTCTTGTTATATTATTATTTTCAATACGAAATCCCAGTTTTAAAAAGTTTTAATTCCAAAGACATCTTAAATTGTATAGAAATAGAAAAATTCGAAATAATAGTGCATATATTTCCTCTGCTTAAGCGTTTACGCTTTTAATTTCACAAAATAAAGTCCTACCTTAATCATTTTCACAAATTTCTTAAGTTCACTAAACCAGAATCAACATTGGCAGCATCTTTATATAGACTGCATTTTTTCTTTTTTGTTTACATCGCATGCAGTTTTAAAAGCTGGTTCTCTTCTTAGGCCGCCTGGGTAATATCTTTGGAATTTGTTTTCTTGTACCATATCGCATATTCGCAATTTTTTATTTTGATAAATTTAGTAAAGCCAACTAAGTTTACATTTCTGGTTGATATGCGATTTTTAATTTTTGTTCACCGACCTTTGCAGCGTAATTTTCTCTGATACAAATTTGATATTACTTGATATATATTTTCTATGTTGCTATTTTTATGATTCAAGTGTTTGTAGTTAAGGGATGATTTGGAATTTTCGTTAACACAATTTATGTTAGAGTCTGAGTTTAAAGTGTGATCACCTGGACTATTAAATTTAAAAGGAATCAAACTAATATGTACTATATCAATGTGCAGTGGATTGTCGAAATACCCAAAAATTTTACATGAATACGAGTAATCTATTTTTCGCAATAATTAAAATAAATATAATTTTAATATGTTAAATAAAGCTACACAAAATTAACGTCCCCAACCGCCGCCGCCGTGGTGTCCTCCTCCGTGACCCCATCCGCCTCCATGATGGCCTCCTCCATGCCCCCAATGGCCTCCACCATGGCCCCACCCTCCACCTCCGTGGCCCCATCCGCCTCCACGGTGGCCGCCTCCATAACCCCTGGCAAGTAAAAGTGATAGAAATTAGAAATACCCCTTAAATTAATACTACGACTGATTTCATTAAATATTAATTTCGGATTTAAATAATTTCGTGCGTAATTACCCTCTGGATTCTGCTACGTTCAATTCTTCTCCACTTTCTACACCTGCAGAATCTGCTGTTTCTTTTTTTTCCAAAGGTACAGCTGTCGTGAATGCCACCAAGAATACGGCAAGAAGAAATAATTCCTATAAACAAATTAGTAGCGTGAAGTATTAACGAATTCCAAAAAACAAGTAATAATGTATACAAGGATATAAACGCATTTTCTATTTAAGATTTCTTAAAAAGTTTTCTTCCGTATTCCAATGTATTACAAGTTTTCCATTTAAGATATTTGTAAACTCGCCACAAAGATATTAATTTTTATCAATTCCTAAAATTGTTCTTATCCAGACCGCTGCCAAATTACTTACACATCATATAGCAGTCTTACCTTGATCATTTTCACTCGTTTTTATTAAACCAAACAATATCGTGAAATGTACTTCAACCATTACGTTTATTGGCTTTTATATACGTACCCCTTTACAAAGAAAAAATACGGTCAGGCGGAAATGAAAAGAGAGGGAAACTGGGACAGCCAATGACGATGTGCACAACTATAATGGAATAAATGAGATTTCCTTCGAATTTGTTTACAAAAATTTAAATATGTTTTTTACCTAAACTTAAATATTTTAAACACGGGTGCCTAAATATTAATCATAAATTAGTATAACCTCCAAATTAATAATAATATTCGATTAGTAAACATATCAACGTCTAAGAACGTATTTATATAAAAACTGAAAAGGTTATATTTTGAACAAATAATGATTCTTGCTATTCGTTTGAAGTAAACAACGTCTCACGCAAACTATTTTTTAAAAATATTTGCCATGCGACATAATAATAATATACGTAGTTGTCACATTTTCAATATTCGTATTCTTTAAGTTTAATATGACAAATTAAAGGCTGTTTAGTTTTTGGACCAGTATAAATAAAACTTTTTTCTACTGAGCTTACCATATTTTTCGCTCAAGATATATGCGGCTAATTTTATTTATTCGGATTTAACAGCCAACTTTAGCTTAATAATTTAAGTTAAAGGAGACGGTCGTAATTTTCAATGCCTATTTGAACTATTGAAATTTATCTTTTCTAAGTAAAATGCGTTGGTTTTCGAGATGGATAACTACAAAACTCGTTATAACAATTATTCAATCCGATTGATTTCAAAATTTTCTTTGAATTCCTTATTCACCACAGTGACCAATGATGAATAAAATGTTGCAAGTTTATTTAACAGTTCAGGAGAATAAACGGTTTTTGCACAGTTGTGTTCCACCATTTTTGTTTTGTCTTTTTAAAATTAGAAACTCACATAAGTTTATTTATTTATTTATTATATTTATTTGATTATATTTGTCAAAATCACGCGTTTCATAGTTCACGCCATTGAATTTCTTATATGCTGATGATACTTTAAGAAACAAAAGAAAAGAAAATGATGAAAATAAATATGGGAGGATGTAGTGAACCTTTTAATGTGGGTTTTTAAATCTTAAAACAAATAAAAATTAAGGTTCTTATTGCGGTGGGTGAACGTTATTATTTTAAATGCAAAAATTGAATAGAATATTCAATTATTTGTTGGGGAAGAAGTTTATTTTGGATCAACAAAAGCATGATAATTTTTATCAGACAATTTAGGAATAAATCCAGTGATACAGGAGTGTTGCTCTTTCAATGGGAGAAGAATGTTGCATGATGGTTCAGTCTTTCTTTTAATACTGCATTTTTTTGAAGGTACTGTGAGAACAACTTATTTTATATTAAAAACCAGTTTATTGCCAGCAGCAAGCGATTTTCTAATTTCATCTGGTAACCTATTAATCACGTACCAATGTAGCATGTAGTATTGTGACCCTAACGTGTCAAAGACGTTTTTGTTATGTCCCTAAGTATTTCAGAAAACTAACTTGTTATTAAACATAGAAATTCCACGGATAACCTAAACGTTCCCTAGATCGAGAATACTATAGTTCTACGACAACAGAATATTATTGTAATTTTCCTTTGGTTCAATCGGTATAATTTCAAGACGCCACGTGCGTACGTGCGTATTAAACGGAAAATACAGATATTTCTGCAGGACTGCGAATTCTCGTACAGCACAAACTTAGGGAATCCCACTGATAAAAGTGGCTAAACGACTAACCGTTCTTCTGTTATGGAAAGTACGGCCTTAATATGCAAATAATATCCTTATGTACCAGTTTTACTAAGAATTTACGGCAAACAACTTTTGCCTTTGTCTAATTATTTATAAAATGTCCTCGGCCATTTTTGGTCAAGTTAAATACGCAGAAAATGTTTATCACTCAGAAAATATGTTAATCTGCAGGACTCTGAATGAAACATTTCGCTGTTTACAAGATTTTTGACAAGGATATTGCTGCCTACCATTGAGAATCCCCTTCAAAGAAGAAAAAACAAAATATTTCAACACTTTATAAAGTTATGAAAAAAATAATTGAAAATTTTCAATTTAATTTGGAACTTGATATATTCTTACTCTTTTAACGCATTTTTGTTATTATGATTTTCATAAATTCGATATGTCAACTCAAAAGTTCATTTTCAAATAAATACTTTTAATATATATATATATATATATATATATATATATATATATATATATATATATATATATATATATATATATATATATATATATATATATATATATATATATATATATATATATATATAAAACACTTCGAACACACGGAGCGCGAGCATTGAAGATGCCAAGTGAGATTTTGGCGAAACGTCTGCAGGATTCCAGTCGGATGCAGGATTTGCAGGATTCCAGTCGGAGTTCAACGAGCGAACGGATGATATCCCGGAATATAGTGTCATCACATTTTTCCATCCGCGAATCAATACGTGAGAATATATATATATATATATATATATATATATATATATATATATATATATATATATATATATATATATATATATATATATATATATATATATATATATATATATATATATATATATACTGACAAAGTACAAATTCTTTGATGTCACAGGTTAGAGTATTTTAAAATTTCTTACAAAAACTTTCTTTCATTATCTGTCGAGCGATATGAATGTGCCCAAATTCTTGTGTTACAAAATACTAGAATATAATAAAGGATGTTCCTATTCTCAAGGTTTTCGTATATATTTAGTATACCTTTCCTTATCATCAATAAATTCGGTGATTCCAATAAAATATTAGACTGCAATTAAGCCACAATTAGGACTCATGACCGTAGACAATGATCCGCCTGTATTTAACTAATTTTGTCGCCGTGGGTATCTGGAGATCGGAGTTATTTTTGCCTTTTTCGGTCTACACCAGGTAGTCGGACGTATGGCCACGGCCGGCTATCCTTGAACTTGACCGTCACAACAAAATATCGCTTTTCTATTTTTTCAGTGTAATTAATGAACACTTTCAAAACGAAACAGCAACAAGCAAATGTCTAAGTAAAGATTATGTGGTCAGTCACCTAGCAATAAAAATAAGTTAATAAAAAATAAACCCAAATGCTTCGTGGAATTCCCCCGTAGGTATACCGAATTTGCTAGGTCGTTTCAAATGTTTAAAATTAAACGAATATGGTCAATCGCTTTTAAGTGTGAATGAATCTGTTCTCAGAAATTGTATATATAAATAGGCTTCGAAAATCTTAAATTGTAATTAAAGATGGATTTGTATATATTTCGTTTATTATTTATTAAAATCATTTTTACCAATAATTTATTAACCACTAAGTTTTTGCAGTGGTTTAAATAGTTTTTTTTTGTTCTGACTTTACTGTATTGCGCTGTAAGTGCTTTGCTGGAATGTTTCATCTTACATATACAGGGTCATGCATTAGTGCGTCGGGCATTCATAGCGTCCTTATTTACAACAGTAGAAAAAGAAGTCACTTCAACCGTTGTAGGATGGGGTTGATACATATTTTAAAAATATTTTTAAATATAATGCGGGTGGTCAAAAAGTGGGACGACATAAAATATATATTTTTAAATGTATACCCTAAATTTTTGGCACACTTGGTACTCTTTCTTATGTGCCAAAATATTTTCTTATTTGCTTTGATATTTTAGAAGCAATAAGTAAAAAAAAAGAAAAGAACGTTTTGCACCCTTGGAAACATTAGAAAAAAATCTTGTTAGATCTGTTTTATTCTCGCTAAATAGTGTGAACCAGCAGTTTTGCTAACAGCTACTGAAATTCATAACATAAGGCATGCGTGGGGAAAGAAGATGAAATTACTGAAAGGTCAGCTCTGCGAATTTTGAAAATGCATCGTTATCATGCATATTATATCCAGCTACAACAGCCTATAAGTGAAAATGACTTTCAGTACAGGGTACAATTTTTCGAGTGGGCTCGAGCACGTCTACAAGAAAATCCGCGTTTGTTTATGTCGGTGTTATTTACTGAGGCGACATTTCACAACAACCGGTGCGTAAACAAACACAATTTTCCAGGAATCTTTTGTGAAATGCTGGCAGTCAATTTGGTCTACAAACGTTTGGGGAGGAGTGATTGGTGGTAATGCGATCGGCCTCATTTTTTTGACGGCCCCATACCGGTCAAATTTATCTTGAATTCTTGAGAAACGATTTATTTTATTCTTGCTACTTTACCACCAAATATACTGGCACAAATGTGGCTTCAAAAGGAACGACTAACAAACGCATTGGCGACAATTACACAAGTGATGCTTTTCGGTGTGGAAAGGACTTTACAAGTTAGAATAAACAAATGTTTGCAGCAAAATGGAAGAAATTTTGAACGTTTGTTAAAATGAATTGCCAATAGTTCCTGTTAAAGTCTGAAAAGTGGTAAATAAACACCAAAATATTGTCTTTCCATTGCTGTCTATGATATTTTCCTAATACTTTTTTAGTTTAATGAGGACATTGGTTTTTGCTAAATATCTCTAAAACCACTGAGAATTTTAATACATTCGTAATAGCAAAATATACTTGCAATTAAATTATGCATTAAATAGTGAAATAAAACAGGGGGTGTAAGATTTAAAAATACTAAGAAAGCTGCCACTTTTGTAACCAAATTTTGAACACTCTGTGCAAAAATAAAAATAACCTGTTTATTGTCAGAGTATTATTAGACCCTTAGCATTACTGTTCACTGTAACTGTCTACTAAAACCAAATTTTGAACTCTCTGCGCAAAAATAAGAATAACCTGTTTATTGTCAGAGTATTATTAGACCCTTAGCATTACTGTTCACACTATTTAGCTGCAACAAAACGATCTTTTCTTCTTTTTTTATTTAATGCTCCTGAAATATCGAAGCAAATAAAAATATATTTTGAAACTTAGAACACAGAAAAAACTATGTGATGTGATACTTTAAAAATATTTTTTAAATAGGCGTCAACCCACGTCCTGTAATTTTTGTATTAAACCTTTTTCTACAGGTGTAAATAGAGATATAGTAACATTGTGCTAGATTTCACCACTATTATTTTGTAATAA